CTTCAATATATCGTGCATACCTACATCAAACCAGAAAAGGGTATTTGACACAAATGTACTTGATCCTCGTACCCTACATAATTTTTTCCTCCTTAACCGTATACTCATTTCCGTTTTGTGGAGTACTCTTATGCACCCGTGGTTACGCACCTGGTTATAAAAGGCGGTCATAATAATAATATATTTCTGCATGTGCAGGTACACACCGTTTTTACAGGCATGATCTATAAATTACAACATTTGTTGGTTCGCAAAATGCTTCCCAACTTATTAAGTTTATAGTTGTTATAAAGTGAGATCGTAGAGCGCTTGCTGTAAACTATGACCTTGAGAGGACGCGTACGTTAAGTTTGCTCCAAACGTCAGAAGTTTCATAGCTGTGCTCTCAGAGCAAGATTCTGAAGGAGAAAAAAAAAGAAACAGAGGAGCAGCAAGGCACTTGGATATGAACGCCAAAGGTTGCTTAACATTGTGTAGTAGAACGGACAGAGGTATAATAAATTAGAATAAATTCATATTATGTCTTGTTAGAGTGAAGTGAAGTCAGAGGCTCCATATTAGAGAATGTACTAATAAAGAACAACGAGTAGTGATGTTTAACAAGTTGGAGTAAGCTCACATGAAGGAAGGGAAGTCAAGGTTGGTACAAGGGAAGCGGTTTATTAGAAGGGTGTATATATAGAGGGTGAAGTGTTAAGAATACTAGTGACTATATCTTTTATTGTCTTTTTTCTTTTATTTTTTGTCCATCCGAATGACTACACTATTTCCTTACACCGATTAATCATTCATAATACTAATCAGTAATAAGTCTTACACACTTCTCAGGTGCAGACCAATTCGTTGCCTGAATGAAATGGAGAAATATTGCTTCAATATATCGTGCATACCTACATCAAACCAGAAAAGGGTATTTGACACAAATGTACTTGATCCTCGTACCCTACATAATTTTTTCCTCCTTAACCGTATATTTATTTCCGTTTTGTGGAGTACTCTTATGCACCCGTGGTTACGCACCTGGTTATAAAAGGCGGTCATCATAGGCTCAAAGCCATACATCTGATTGGGTTTGACAAAGAGTCCAACTTCCTGCAAGTTCACACTTTTACATATATGCATTACAAAATAGTATTTTTTGTTTTCATACTTTTTCGTCTACAAGATGTCTACACTATGTCCATCTCCTTCCAGAATGCCAGTCCGTTCTGAGGATCAATCACTTACGTGGAACCGAACAATTATCAATTATATTCATGTATTTCCATTTTGCATCTTATTATTTTATGCAGGCAGTGAACAGTTCTCCAGGTTTGATTGGTTTTCACCGTTACCTTTGAAGTAGATTCTTTTTACATTTTACTTGAGGGCGACTCAAGAGGCAGGTGAGTAAACACCTGATAGCCGGTCTGAGCATGGAGAAATCGTACCTGACCAACATGGTGTTGAGCAGCCCGCTCGCGGCACTTCCTCAGATATTCTTGTTCCATATTCTGACACTCTCTTGTGAGGACATAGCAAACCGTCAGCGATAGTTGTAGAAGAAATCACATGCTGCAAAATTAGATGACAAGCCTGCAAATGAAGAGACATCCATGGACTATCGTTGACTGCTGACGAAGTTAGTCGTCAATGATTGAAAGTCAAACAGTGACCGAGTTGATAATTTTTCCTTGGGCTGAGAAAACAGAAATAAGGTGTCTTTGATAGATAGGTTAATCAAACCGACGATTCAACGAAAGTCGATTCTAGAGGGAAGCTAATGTAACAGCCTGGGTTAGTTAGTTAGCAGTTCACCTCAAACAACCAAGCATATGTCAAAACAGTATGGTTCAAGTATTCATTCACTTCCTTATTTTGCATAGACGTTATATTTCCTATTATCTTGTTGAGAGGCTTTGTTTGTCTGAACAAGTAATTCTACACTCCACGGTGACTGCGCGAAGATCTAAATAAAGACCTATTCACTACTTGTCTAAATTCTTCTATCAGCAGCACGAGGGTACCTAGAGACACGAGACATGTACGTCTTGAATTTTAGCTACACCACCTTGAAATATATTTAGAACAACAGTTGAGGTTGCTTCCAAGTTCAGTTAATTCTTTTGAGGTTCCTCCTTCATCGTTGATACGATATGTCTTTCGGTTAACCACTTTTCCTTACTCCTTCAGGACACTGAGTTGGGGCTTGTCTGGCGATTTGGTTTGATTATCCCCTCAATCTGTGTCCTACCCACCTCCAACACATTTTCCCAACATCCTCTTCAGCTAGAAGTTCGTTTGCTCCCTGACGTAGTAAGTTGTTGTTAATGCTATCCCGTTGATTGATCTATAGTATCTTGTGTAGGTAATAAATTTCAGATGCTCCTACGTTTTTGAAGACGGTTTTTAGTAGTTCTCCAAGTTTCAATTTTGTGGAATAAAATTAATTGTCTCGACGTTTGTGCTGAAAGTTATTCACCAGTAATGCTCCCTCTGTATTTGGATTTGACCATTTTTGGCAAACCTATTATGATAATGACTGGTAGCTGAACCCAAATGGAATCCGAGCTACTGAACAACTTATTGAAAATTCTTGGCTTCAACAGAATAAATTGCACGTTATATCACCCATAAGCCAGTGGGATGATAGCATGTTGCCTTCATCAGTTAAGTGCTACCCTAATATCACACTCAAACCCCACTTAATGGACAGAGTTCCCGACATTAGTTGTGTCGGGAAAAGGAACAGCTGACAAAACTGATCGGAAGTATTCAGCAGCAGATCTAGTCTTCTCTGCGACTTTAAGGCTACTAGGCGAGTTTATCAATACTTGTACTGAAAATAAAAAGCTTTTCCTAGGACGTTATATCAACCAACTACATGAGCGTATGTTCAAATTAAACCTGTAAACACCTGTGAGTTGTCGTGGGCCACATATGTGTTCTACATCTCAAGCACTTGAACGCAGAGATGGACAAGATATGGTGACAGAACGAACCATCATATGTGGTATTAGACCGCTTGCCTGACAAAACAATTACACAGCTCCAAAATGTAAACGATATCTCTTCACATATGACTTCAAATGTTAGACGAGCAATATAGATTATTCAACGAAGTATATCTACCTTTCTTGCTTAGTCCTAAAACTAAGGCACATATGTAAAGAAATCCTGATTTCATTCAAAATGTTTGATACATTTAAACAATGAAAACGAAAACGGAATGTATTTTGTATGCCGTTTCCCCGTTTTTTTCAAGAAGGCTAAATTGTGGTAGCTTTAATCAGTACCTTACTCACTCTACCTCGGATCCTCTGCGTAACACATCCGGCTGAGATTAGTGATCCATTCTGGCTACGTCTGAGGAAATAACCTTCTGTCCAGATTTTTATACTAACGAGAGAAAATAGTGAGATAATTGAATGCGAGCACTAAAAAATCCCTGCTGATTTCTACTGCCAGACCAAAACATTTATGTAGAACCCAACATTTCTCAATTTTGAAAGTACAATTCCTTTTGCATCTCATCAGTTTTTACGAACAGTGGAGCAGCTCTTCGGTTTCAGCTGACTCTGTTTATTTATTCCTGTTTAAGATCATACTCTTCGACCTGAAGAACAGGGTTTTGTGGAATTTCCTGCACACTTCAATCGCTTAAGAGAATAAAATTCCCCTGAAAACCTTTCAGGCGATTTTCACCAAACTCGGCATGTCTGGTCACATCCGTATGTTATTATCTATTCTGAGAGAATAAATGGCAAGTACTGTTCACCAAATCGTCAGTAAGAACGTGATGGTTGACGTTGATGTTGAAGATGTTCGTCCGAATCGGGTCGTACAACCGGCAGGGGCTACAATAAGATAATTTCAGCTACCATTCTGTGAGTTTCTGCACAGTGCAGTGTTTTTATTATGGAGATGGAAAGGAGTTCCTGACGAGAAGCAAATTTTTGGGGTGACATGTTCTTCAGATTTTCGGCTGCTTTGTGGCTGAGGTAGTTTCAGCTTGATCACCAGACCTCAGTCCGCACTATCCCGTGCGCAGCACTTCACCTGTGATGACGAAAGTAACACTGATAAAGACCTTTCCATATTATGAACGAAAAACTCAGTTTCTTCATGAAAAACTATGGAGCCAGCTGGAAAAAACGGCCAACACACATGAAACTAGACAGGTTTCAAGAAAAAGATTAACCAATATAATCTGAAAGCCCGGAAAATATTCTTTTGATGAAGATTATTACTTTTGTTGGGTCTGAATATGGGAAAAGTTTGAAAAGTTCAGATAGCGTACAACAGTATGTTCTATTCTTAACCATTATCCATCTCTTATAATCTGAATTGTGATTTCAGGGTGCTGATAACTAATTATTTTTTTTTACAATACCGAGATTTGATCTCTTGGTTATTGAATATTTTTCTGCACTCTCATTATTCAACTTTTGCGTCACTTACCCAATAATGGTGTGCTTGTTTGGCTAGTAATCGTTAGTGAAGTATTTGCTCAGAGTAAACTTTAGTTTATGATGGCTAATACGTAGTATTCATTATTTTGTTATTGTCACTACCATATGGTTCAATATACTTAAAGCGCCCCATGCATTCCCTGAATTCATCAATGTGTTGGGTATTTATAAATACCTATAACTATAGTTTAGTTATGGAGTGGAAGAGGCTCAAAAATAACATGTGGATATGTTTATAGCTTTTGCTCATATTATTGTCTTTCGTCTTGATCATCTGGTTGGAAAATGTTTTTGCACTCAACGCAACTTCTACTCCTCAAGAGTTATCAAATGCTGCAACTCGCTGCCTACTGTGCTAGATGAGCCGACTTTCCAGGAGTTCTTTAAGAGTAAACTTGACCTATTCTCAAGGGCTAAGGATAACAACTTATTATAACTTACCAATTTCTTCTGTTTCCTCTATTATCGTTGATATACCTAGGTTCCTGCCTAGAGGTATTGGTGAATAACTGCTACTAGACACGGAAGCCAGCTAAGCAAAAGCTCCTTCTATTCCGTCCACAACCATTTGAAGCATCTGAATAACAGCCGTTTTAGTAAAACCAATTAAGATGTGGACTTTTGTTTTATATCCGTGGAATTTATATCAAATGCGTCCAGTGGAGCTTGGCTTTATCAGGTCATTGACTGTTCAAAGTCAGTAACTCGGCATAATTAAAAGGAAAAAAAATTTTGCTTGAGTCAGTGATCAGATTGTTTTTATTTTGACGTTCTTTGGTAGTTTTGTTTTTGTAATTATGATGTAAAAGTTAATATTCTAGCTAACATTTTCGCGTGGCTGAATGCGGATTATACTGAGACGAGGATTTGAACGAATCTGTTGAATAAGCGGACAACAGTGGTTGTGCAATGTAATCCCAAGTTTTTGTTAACTAACTTCAGCATATTAATCCTACATTGCTTGAACCTTACTTTCCATCTTAAAAATTTTTTATGTTGACCAAGACTAGCTAGGCAAAAACGTTAATTAGATGTACAGCAACTCACCTTTGGCTCAGTGATTTATGTACATCATCTGTTAGTCGGTACATGTTGCACCCAAAGACTATATACTACCGTTTAAGCAATGTGATGGTATCTACAGCGCCCCCAAACGCCCTGGTATGGCCGAGAGTGGGGAGAGTCAGCTCTCCCTCTCGAAGTGTCTCACATGGCCACGCGTATACCGCCTCTGCCAGGGAAGTCCTACTCGTTGCCTTCTCGTGGCGGGGGTGTTGTTTAGAAATCGAGAGGACGAAAAACGAACGTCCGCTGCTTTAACCGGGTTGGTGGACACAAAGAGCCCACCTAGGGGAGTTGGAAAACCCCAGTTTTAAACCACTGGTGCACATGGGCTCCACGATCCTGAAAGAACAAATGGTGTGTGGACCAATTTTCGGCCTCCGGCTACAATGGGACTGCTTCTCCTTACGATGCTCCACTGCCTTGTGGATCAGACCTTTGGGTCGAAGGCTCCGGGTGTGGTCCCTTAAGGAAACCACCTGTTTCGGTTTGGGTACCCAGGCAGTATCATATCCCCCACACAAATCAAACGAGATTGGTGTGGCGAATATGTATCTGGTGCCCCCTTGTACCAATATTTGTGTTCAGATAAATAAGTATCTATAGCCCTTAGGTGTATATTTCGATCCAATGAAAAAAGCTCTGCCTGCATATTTTCATAATTTTATTTGTTACACTTGAAATGATCATTTGGTAAGAAAGAGTTGGGTCATTTTATTTTCTCACTGACACTAAGAATGTTGTCAAGGTGAAGACAGAGTTCTGGGAAATCATTCAGTCACCAGTTTAATGGATGCTTATGGGGTGTTAGATGAGTTCGATGTGCGCTTAATTTCCCCTAGATTTCTCTCCATCCATGGGATGGTTTCGCTGGTAGCATTAGATGCTTAGTATGTGAGTTTACAAGTAGTTGCAAAGCTAAATTTATTTCATAGATACATAGAGTTTTCTTGACTATATGTGTGCCTATAGTTGTGCTGAACGGATTCTATGCACAGCAAATGTAAATGAACAAATTCAGTCACTCGTTATGGTTATAAACGTCTGTTGACTTAAATTACTAAGTCCATTTTAAGACTGGTTAGATTCATTCGTATTCAAAACAGATATGACTCATGTGCTACATGAGAATTTGTAACATTGCTAAATTGCATCGTATTATCATACTGTCATACTGCTCTGTTTTCAGCAATTCTGTCTAAAACGACTCTGAATACCCACATGATTTTCACTCGTGTTTAGAAAATCATTTTTCTCAACTTGGTTTCACTGTCAACTAATAGACAGTACTTTCCTTTTTTAATCAGAAGGCTTGGGCATTTTGTCTACCTTACATACTTAAATAACGTTTCTTTTGAAACTTCTTTTGCCATTTCAGGTATCTTTGCACGTTTTATTACAAACAAGTCTTCATATTCACTCAAAAGATATTAGCTTGAGAACGGTTGGAGGATTTATAAATAAATAACATACACAACTTTTCATGAACAAGCTCTGGAGATATCATCTGAGTTATAGAACACAAAGCAGGGCACAAACTATTGTGTACCATGCTCAGTGAACCTGCTTCCCCATATGCATTTTGTAAAGATTTGCAGAACTTAATTATTGTAACAGAAGAGCAAATCATTTCACCTTTGCGTAAAGAGTTAAAAAGAAGTGATGAACATTCAGAAATTTTATCACTTGAGATACAAGACGCTGAGGTAATTTGGTGAATATAGTGCTATTTCCGTTATAGAATAAAACTTTTGAATATTTAGCCCAGCAGATTTCAGCTATTTGTAATGCTGACGAAGATACAGCTAATGCCATTCTGCGTGAATATCCAAAATCGGAAGTTTGCTTTCGATGTCTCGGTATTAATGATGACACTATACAGGTAAGTGATGAATGTCTTCAGATTTTCATACGTGTCTCTAGGGCCTTCTTCGTATTCGTGGTATTGGCTTTCTACAATTGTTAGATATGCCTGACAGTGAAGTAAGAACAATCTTACAAAATTATGGTGATTATGGTGAGGAAGTTGATCATGTACTTGCTGGTCTTGCAAAAATACGCGGGAATATTGATCTCATCGAAAGTGACTTAGCATTTGAAGATGATACCAGAAACTTAATCAAATTAGTGATGCGTTTGTCTGACGATGATTCTCAAGTTGAAGAACTAAACAATATCCTTAATGCTCAAATTTACGAAGAAAGAAAGGATCCTCGTATACCTCCCTTATATGTTACTGGCCCTGAAGATTCTCCTTTTGTTAACAAGGAAATTTCTGTACAAAACTCGTCTCATAAAAATACCAAAGTAGTTGTTTGCTCTCATTTAGAGCACGATACATCCTGTGGAAATCTTATTAGCCATTCCAATTCCGATAATATTAATACATTTAAAACTGGTTGCGATGTCAACTACAATGGCTGTAGTTCGTTTACTTCCCCACATGCTTCCAGTTGTATCACCATAAATAGTCCACAGAATGTCACAAATAAATCTCATCCCGGAAAATTGTGCAAAACTGATTTTAAGACATTTAATCTCTTCCCGGGTATATCTGATTCGAATATTCCTTCAGAAATTGATCTACACAATGGCGGGCTTTCAGTACCTTCTACTCCCATTTCTTATAAATTATCTTCGACCATTTTAACACCCTCAAATCTTTTTAGAGCAGGCCGTCATACACTACCAAATGAAGTAACCTCACTTTCTCCCGGTGGGCGTCGAGCAGGCAATCATTCGTCTCGAGATCGCGAGCATCAAACTCGTCAGGCAGGGACTCCGCCACCCAAACATCGTTTAAGATTTTCTTCTCCGCTTCATCGTAGCAAGTCTCATGAGTCTAATCTTGCCAATCGTGTTATTTTACCTGCCCTCCCAAATGTACCACAGTTCCACCAAGAAACAAACTGTGCCTGTTATATCAGTAGACCACAACTATTATTATGTAATCCGATTTCCCCAGACGCCTCCAGTAATGTACACAACGATTATTTAAATTATTCTGAGTGTATAAATGGCGGTCGACCGTGTATAACTACTACTCAATGTGGTGTATGCATTAACAGCGATGTTATTTCAAATGGGAATAAAACAGTTTCAACATTTTATCATACTTGTTCCATTAGTGATAGTACTTCCACACTTGTCACAAGTCCACGTACCTACGATCAAGGTCGACGTGTGTCTTGTGAATATCGACCATCAAAGACTAATTTACAACCTTTAATGACTACATCTGCAGATAGTGATAATTTATCAGGTAGGTTTATTTTTAAATGACGGATTAGACATATCTACTACTTTGTGTTTTTTTTCTTACAATTAATGTATATATTTTGTAAAAGAAAAGATATATATTGATCATAATTTCTGTTAGGAAACTTTCAAATTTTCGAGCTCAATGAATATTCTATTTATAATTACTTCATGAATAGTTGTAAGCCAGCATAATGAATTCATAGTTATACTGGATTTTTTCGATAAACTATTAAATATTTTATTCTAAGCACTAAAAAACAGTCATTAGCTTTGTAGTCATCTTCATTATATATTTGAGTAGTAAACTTCAATGGTCGTTGCAATGTAAACTTTTAACTTGTAATCATTCAGTGAAAAAAAAATTAATGAGTTGGACCTAGTGCTATTCAGTACTCAAAATATATTTATCACTTCACCTATTGGGAAGTGTTATATGACTTTTATTGATTTAATTAAGTTCAATTGAATACGCTTGCATAACTCAGTAACGTTGAATTGTTCATTACACTGCTTAGTGAGAAGTAATTTTTTTATCTACCTATGTATAGCTGTTAGTGCTGGACTTTTCTCTATAGTTCCAGGTTATTCTATAGATCTGGTGACTGACTTTTTGTGGTATTGTGCAACATCGTGATTTCTTGTGTAAATTAGCTTTATAGTTGTGAACTTTACATGCGTATCACATTTGTTTACGGATTACTTTCTACACCTGTTCAGCTCACATAAGTAAACTTTTTTATCCTAAATTTAAAAAAAATGTGGAAAACTATTGTCTTTAATATTAAAACTATAAAGTTAATCTTAGATTCTTTTTTATGATAGTGAAGTGATAGGCTTAACAGTTAAAACACGACTTTCAACAAGTAAGTCACCAGGCTCTCACTGCCTCGTCTAGTTTGCTCTGAGTAGTCTGAGAGTACCACTAATCCTCACTCAAGTTAAGCTTTGATTAAAAGGTTAGTACATAAATTGTGTACTTAAAAAATCGGTTACATTAATTTTTCATCCCCATTCACTTTCAGTTACATTTTGTCAATAACATTTTGTGTGGCTTTAAAATTTGCAGCTAGTCAATCAGTCATAAACAGCATAGAACCTAACACATATGTGCATCGGTCCGCGTTATCACAACATACAAGCTCAGTTAGATAAAATTTTCAAACCAAAAATAATTGAAAACTGAAAATCTGAGGGAAAACAAAGAGTAACGGTACCTGTACGAATTCGATTGATTCTGAGCCATGTCACCTAAGATTTACAACCATTAGTTATAATCATTGCGCGAACCCTAACCAAATGGTTTGGACCTACCTACCTGGTTCATTTAAACATTGTAGGAATTCTTGGACTGACTTGGTGTTTTGGTTTTGTAGCTCCGAGATTTCTTCCAACCTGTTTCTACACTAGCCAACGACTTACGTCTAGGTAGGCGGTGTTTGGGGATACTAAATGTATGCGTCAACTCCCTCAGTTGATGACAATTTGCTCTCATCAATCGACTTATCTTCTTTATATCGTACTGTCCATCTAACCTGAACATTGCTCACTTGATAATAACAAAATACATAGACGATCCTGCGAATACATCTATGATCAAATACTAGTGACTTATGAATACTCACCATTTTTAGGGGACACGTTTACCGCCATAAAGTAGAACGGGATCAGTGGCTATACAGTTTACTCGTCTTCTGGTTGTGTGACGGATATCTAGTTTATTCCACAAGTGATGTAGGTTGGCAAAAACCAACGACCTTTTTGAATTCAAACTGAGATTTTGTCGGACACTAAACGGCTAGGGCTGACGAGAATCCAACGTTAGTTTATGCCTATAATGTACAAAACGTTTTTATTTCGTAAGGTGAATATCTTTGTGGGTTTGCATTCGTATTTTGTTCTTATTGTTTGATTAAATACACCTTTTTTTAACACTGCGACTTTGCTTTGTAGTTATTTTGTGAGTGAAGTTCTTTTCGAAATAAGTAGCTGAAGCTTGGTCTTAAGTAGATTGGATTGCGTTTTTCATTGAGGTGACTTTCACACAAGGTTTTGTCTCCTAGTATTTAGAGCTTTCAAAAGAGTTAACTAAAATATACTGTGGTATGACCTAGAATCACTTTTCAAGCAGTCAGAAGTGATCTTAGTTATAATCCAAATTTTGATATGAATGTCAGTCAGTCAGTAACAACGTAGAACTTCGTACGTACGTACATCAGTTCGAGTTGCTACACCACATTAGCACAGAGATGCAGTGGTCGATTCAAATCCAGTAGTGGTAGAGGTAGTAAAAGTATAAGCAGTAATCGGAAACATTAGGGTTTGAAGATGTTATTCAAGTAGTATAATACAGTGAAATAAATTTGGAAAGAAAATAAGGGACATGAAGAATTCAGAAGATTAGAATTTGGGAGAACACAAAGAATGGATGCTCTTGCGCCATTGCAGACGATTTTGAGCCATGTCATTCAGGGTCTCTAACCATCGGTTGCTATCATCTCGCGGTCCCCAACCAGGTAGTCTACACCTACCAATATGACTCAGTCCACTTGTCAGTGAATTCATGGACTTGTGCTATGTCTTGGTCTGGCCACCCCTAACTTTCTTCCAATCTACTCCTATACCATTGAACATCGCACGTCGAGGTAGTCGGTGGTTGAGCATACGTAACACGTGTCCCAGCCATCTCAACTGATGAAGTTTCACTACTTCATCAATTGATTTGCCATCCCTACCTAGTACCCGTTTCCTAACAACCGCGTTACTTACTCGATGTTCCTAGGATATACGAGCAATGTTCTAAAGACACTTATGATCGAATACTAGTAACCTACGGATATCCTCTACTCTTACTGGTCACGTTCCACTCCCATAAAGTAGGACGTAACGAACTGCTGCGCAGTAAACACGTCCTTTGGTTGGTAGACGGATATCTCGTCTACGCCATAAATGACGCAAGTTGGCAAAATCTAGTCGAGCCTTCTGTATCCATGCTGAGATTTCGTCACACACCAAACCACAAGGGCTGATGAGACTTCCAAGATAAGTGAAACGGTCGACACTCTCAACTACTTCACTCCCTATCATTAGTTCGGGTGTCGATGCAACCCAATCCTGAAGCAACATTTTGCATTTCGAGGTGGAGAATCGCATCCCGAACATGCTTTCATTGCTGCTTAGAGTGGTCAGAAGACTCTGCATTTTGTCAGCGTCTTTACCAAATAGAACTGTGTCATCGGCACATTCCAAGTCAACGAGTGAATCTCCCGGTAGAAGTTCAACCCCTAGAAATTTAGATGAGGAAGGTGTTATCTCTAAGAGCACATCATCACGTTCGACAGAGTCGAATGCTGCTTCAATGTCGAGAAAAACTACCATTGTGGGGCGTCTGAATGTGTGTCTGTGTTCTGGAACCTGACGTAGTGTGAATATCTGGTCTATACAACCACGTCCAGGTCGAAAACCAGCCTGATTTTCTCTAGTCTGTTCTTCACGAGCTTTGGTTAGGCGTCGAAGTATTATTGAAGCTAATATTTTAGAGACTATATTAGTCAAACTGATTCCTCTGTGATTGTCACAAGAGGACTCTTGTCCTTTCTTATAGATTGGCACAATCAGTGATTGAGACCAATCAGATGGGATTACGTCCAGTTCTCAAATTCTAACTAAGACCTCAGTTAATCTCACTGCTAATACTGAACTTCCATCCTTAAAAATCCCAGAAGTAAACCTGTCAGGGCCTGCTGCTCTCCCTCGCTTCAGGTTTCCTATAGCTTTTTCAACTTCGTAAAGAGTCGGAGGACCTACATGAACTTGCCATTCAGGTTGACTGGAGATCGTGGGAAACCGAAGTGTGGCTGAAGGCCAGTTGAACTGATCCCTAAAGTGTTCTGCCCATCGATCCAATCTCCTGGATTGAGAATGAATAATATGTCCATCTTTCTCTGAGAGTGTTTCGCTAACAGTCGGTTTTTTAATACCGGTTTCCCTAACGAGTCTGAACAATTGTCTGCTATTACCTATTGCCGCTGCCTTGCTTTCGCTACCCACCACTGTTCACGATCATTGCGTAGACTTATTGCCAGCTTGCGCTTAAGCTGACTCCGCTATTCGTCATGTTCAGAGCCCGATGGAATGAGTTTTCGAGCATCTATCAGTGCGGTAGATGCTGCTGAGATCCAGTGTTTCTCCCTAACCTTGTGGTTTACCGTACTAGCATACATCACTGCTGTTTCCACAGCTTTTCGGATATCATTCCATGCTGCCTCGGGGTGGGCATCACATACATGGCTACCTAACTGTTTTCCTAGTTGTTCCTGAAATATTCTCCGGGTTTGACTATCATTAAGTAGGACCCTAAGATGTTTCCTTGCAGCATCTTTCCTACGTCCAGTAAGACGCAGACAAATACGCGCTCGTACTAGAGCATGATCTGAATCTAAGCATGTGCTCCAGAATGAGCGACAGTCTTCTACCGAACCCCTCCATCGATGGCTGATAGCGATGTGATTTATTTGGGTCCAACGTTGGAACGAATTGGGGGGTCGCCATGTTAAAAGATGTTTTTGCTTATGCTTAAAGTTAGTATTTGCAAGAAGCAGGCGGTTATCTGAGTATAGCTACAACAGACGGTCTCCATTATCTGTTCTTTGAGCCACGACGCTATAAGATCTACCCAGGTGTCATTCCCTTTCGCTTAGTTTGCCTACTTGAGCATTAAAGTCACCGGCCACTACTACTACATCAGAGCGCCTAGCTTTTCGGACAAGGTCGGAAAGCTTTCTGTAAAACTCATCTTTTACATCATCTGAGCTGCAGTCATTGGGAGAATAGGCCGAGACGACGAGTGTCCCTACCTTTCCGAGTCCTTATTGTTCCGTTTAGTCGGATAGCGCACAAACGACTGTCTACTGGGATCCAGTCTAAGAGAGCTAGTTCTGCCCCAGGACTCAATGCTATACCTACGCCGGCGAGTCCACGAGAAGCAACATCTGGGCTTCCAGATACACGAAGTGTGAATCAAGTTGGTTGTTTGTTTTGACATGTTGATGTCAAATGAATGACGCTACACGGATCCTGTATGCGTGTTTCGGAGACGCAGCACAGATCGATGGCGCGAGGTTCTAAAGTCCTAGCTAAGGAAGCCTGTTGTCCTATTTGGCACAGTGTTCGGACGTTATAAGCTTCAACATGAAGTTTAGAGCGTGGTTTCAGGAGACCAGGAATAACGTTCCAGCCAATATAGCTCGGTTGGGTCATCACGATAGGCAAGCCCCACCACCGCGTCAAGGTAGCAGCCACGGTCGGGTGTGATATAAATGTAATACAATTACAATAGATACGTAGTTCTAACTTCGTATACGGAGTACCTTGAGAGACATACAAAACACTCTTGATTATGCCCGGAATCACATATAATACACTGCACGTGTAATTTTTGTTACAGATACACTTTATATCAGGAGTTACCAGTGTTTTTCGTAATGTAGCTTCTACACCAGATCATACTCACTGTATTTTTGCACAACGGATATATGTTTATCAGTTTTGAGCGTATCAAGAACCGAATAGATGTAAATTTTACTAACATGTGAATGAGGCATAAGTTAGTTGCCGTTTTTGCAACAATCAAGGAGATATTTTATTTCTGATTAGTTCTAAGCTATGACTTACTTTAGCCAGTAGATTAAATGAGTATCCATAAACATTTCTAGTTTGTCAATTTTGTATTTGAAGTAATTAGACATGCTTTCATTTAAATCTAGGTGTCCTTAATGTTCCGACTAACTCAGGTGGGGCCACATTTGTTCTCAGTGCAAGTGGATTTATGCACAAGTGAGTTAGTGTCTATATTTGTGTTTAACAGATATGTGTATTTTCGTAGCAGTTGTATACAAGTTGGCACTTGCTTAGTGAATTAGCCATTTAATAGTAAAAAAAATGAGTAGATATATGTGTATTGGATTCTGTCACGGTCTGAAGGAATCTTTTGCTCTCTTCAAAATACAGAACTCCCATAGTTCAAAGTCGAACTTCATAGCATTATTCAAAGAGTTTGTTAAAACTAAAAGCTAATCATACAGAAATTAACCAGCTGTTAAAACAGTGTTTAAAGTTCACACTGGTAACCGAAATCGAGATTTCCATGTAATTAAGTTTACTAAACGTTTTATGCCATATGTTTGTCAGGTTCATTTAGTGGGCTTTTTTAAAAGTTTAATTGTGAAATTCAGAAGCGTTTGTTTGACGAACCAACTGTAGATCATTCGATTATTCGTTTATAAATTATCTTCATGTCGTAATTTTACATTACTGAATGACTTTGGTTAGACAACCATAGAAAACCAAGGATCACTGAATAGCTGCCTCATTTTGGTATAAAACTCTTCACCTGTGGGGACTCACGACCACACCTGGGACCGAAACCTGAATCTTCAGGCCTCGCGTCTAGCGCTTAACTTGCAGGCCACTGAGTTGGTATCCAACATTTCTAACCACTACTTATTGCCATTATTGATATGATTGTCTCACTCCAAACACAATGTTGAACTTCACTGGTGACAGCTTCTCAGTGAAACTGAATTTCTTCATCTACGTATAGTTTGATATTAATAATATTGTAATGAACAGGAACAATCGAATGTATTTAACACAAAATTACAGGACTTGTTAATAAAATCTAACAATCATAAAGTAAATGCTTAATTTGCAAAATGTCCACCAGTTGTCTCAAAATGACTCAGACTTCATTGTTATTGCATTTTCATACAAATTGCATCCTGTTTTTATTCTTTACTGCTTGATCCTGCTGCCAGACCTTCTGTTCACGACTAACATCATATACTACTTATGTCAATATAAGTAGCAAGCACCACAGTATGGCTATATATATTTATATAACATGTGACACTTGTTTAACATGTTATTTCACAATTTTTACGTTTCACAGATTCGAATTAGAATCTAAATTTGGTGATTTTGTTAAAGGTACTCCATGCGCTGTTTGTAATAATCGAATGCGATTTCGTCTACAACATTGTGCTTACTGCAAGTAAGTGTGCTAATATATTACTTTACTTAAAAAATGATGATATACACGCACTGTTATATTTTACTATAAAAAGTACACTAGTTGCACCTGTTATGTCCTATAACCCGCCAAATATCACTTGGCAAAATCGCCAATCAGAATACCGACTGCTATCATCCTGTCTCTGTGCTAAACCAATGATGCGTTGACCGGCACTAGAAGCCTTGAGTCAACTCTGAGACCTTATTGATCCTCTTTGGAGTAGCCTCTCAACTAGCTCAGCCTATTCAGTTCAGAACACAAATATCAGCTTCCGTTGTGTGAATCGTATATTTCAGACATACGTAATTTATATACAAGCAGACCAGACCACATAACAAGATAAAACGAAAAATAATCATTATACAAGATCAAGTCAAAAGTGGCTGTGACTATGAGATACTGTAATTAATAAATTTTTCATGATTATTATTAAATTTTGATTGAGATCATGAGTCGATCAGTATTAGACCGCCATTGAAAACCTGGAATCATTGGACGGTCGTTTCGTCCTAGTTTGGGACTCCTCAGCAGTGTGCATTCATGATCCCAAACTACAAAAACGCGGCTGTCCAGTGCTTCCAAGTTTTCAATGGTGGTCTAACGTTGAATTGATTCGTGATCTCGATCAAAACTCTACAACCCTAAACTGATATTATTCAATTGTTATTATGACCTTTACGTTTTTCAGTTTTTTGTATATCTGTCAAGTGAACAATTATCTCTCATATTTCTAACCTGTAAATTATTTTCACTCCCTTACTCTTCTCTAACCCTTTGATCCTTATTCAACCTCATTTGATAATTGAAGTCTCGAATCTTTTGATGACGCAATCTTTTCTATCCTTCTATAGACAAATATATTTACCGTACAACTATAAATACGAAGGTACAGCTTAAGTAAATGATTTCATCGGAAAGTGAAAATTTTCTCCTCTAAATTCGCCTTATTTTTATTATTGAGTGTACAAATAACTTGCTTAAGATTATATTTCATTGTCTTGACTTGTTATTGTAACACTATACACAATTATTTGACTTTTTTCTAAAAAAATCTCTGTACATAGAATCAAAGTACATAAAAGTTGCGTTTCTCATTCAAGACGACTTCCTTGCACAGGACCTTCCAGTGGACAAAACAATGAATTACACGATTTCAAAGGTAATCCATTTTAATATTCTCTTAAATATAAGTATGAGAGGTGATATATCAAATGTTTGGGAAAATATATGAAATTACCCAGATTTTATTGTATTGTAGACATTCTTACGTCTAGCTAAGCAACTGATTCCAAGTTCATTTTAATGGTAAAAATGTCATCTACATGCATACTTTAATCAGCTTTTATCTTAGGATAATTTCAAATCAAATAAATCTCATCAACACCACAACTAATTTTCCACATTCAACAATGTTCATACATTTAAATAGTTTGTGTTTTAATACAAAGTTGTTTTAAGTATCCGAAATGCCTTGATACGGCTGAGAGTGGGGAGAGTCAGCTTTCCTTATTCGAATGCTCTCACATGGCCACGCGTATACAGCCAGTAAAGTCTTACCCACTGCCTTCTCGCGGCTGCAGCGTCGTTTACGAAATTAAGAGGACGAAAATCTAGTGTCCGGCACCTTAACTGGGTTGGTGGACACGGAGGGTCCACCTAGTGGAGTTGGAAAACTCTGATTCCAAAGCAATGGTACATATGGGATCCACGATCCTGAGTGAACGAATGGCGTATGAGCCAGGTATTGTTCACTGGCTACCTCCTTGTGGATCAGATCTTTAGGTCAAAGGCCCCGGGTGTAGCGTACTAAGAAAATCAACTGCTTCGGTTTGGGCAATCGGGCAGTATCACAGATCATACACAATTCAAGTGACTTGTGTGGTGCATATGTAGTTGGTGCCCATTTGTATCAATATTTATGTGTTCAATTAAATAAATATAAAATAAATTCGATAATTTTTAGGATTTAATGATTTCCCTGAAGAAGTTCGTCCTCAACTATTTTAATTTCAATTAATTACTGGGATTTTTATAAATATAATTCCTTTTTATTACTCTTAACAATAATTCGATGCAAGAATAGAATTTATTCAGTAAATATCGTCATTTTCATTTTATTTGAAGAAGGGTGTGCCTGAGAATTTTATTAACATCTTAAAGGCCCTATATGCAAACATCTCAGGTAGAGTGAGGGCATACAACCACCTTTCTCCATTGTTCCATTCGAGCAGTCAGTTCAGACAGCGTTGCCCAACCTCACCAACAGCCCTGATGGATGTAAGTAATGGTGGTGTGGATCTGTTGCCTGGAGAAAGACTTCTCGACTTTGAGTATGCGGATGATATTGTCTTACTGTGCGATAATGCTCAAGCCATGCAATCCTCACTTAATCAGTTGGCAATCAATGTCGATAGGTACGGTATGTGCTTTGCACCTTCGAAGTGCAAAGTACTTCTACAAGACTGGCAGGATTCTAATCCTGTACTCAGCCCGGACGGTGAGCAGACAGAAGTAGTCGAGAAGTTTGTGTATCTAGGTATCTGCATAACTGCTGGTGGGGGTGTGAGTGATGAGATCAGTGAACGTATAGTGAAAGCCAGAGCGGCTTATGCAAATCAAGCTGTAAATGGTCGGATCTCCAACGCGTCGGTGAGAGCAGTTCTGTTCTATGCTTGTGAAACGTGGCCTTTCCGAGTTGAGGATGTTAGACGGCTCTCTGTGTTCGATCGTCGTTGTCTCCGAAGGATTGCTGACATCCAGTGGCAACACCATGTTAGTAATGCAGAGGTTCGGCATCGTGTGTTCGGGCACAGGGACGATAATGCAACTGGTGTCACCAGCTTGAAACGTCGACTTCGGTGGAAACATCTAATAGAGTGTTATGGCGGAGCGGTGTTAGGTGTAGCGATCGCTGTTGTTGAAGCGATGAAGTGAGAACTATGGTTGCTGAACGAACAGGAAATGTAGACGGTGCGGTTGGTCGACATCACTCTAGAGGTCAGCGCGCTGGTCGACTGGACATGTCGATGTGAGGTGTGGGACAGATTGTACCAGAGAAGTGAACGGTACGGTCAGCAGAATGAACGCGAAAGTGACTCCCGTTTAAACGGATGACGAGTGTAGTTTATGCTGAATTGAATTGAATTTAAGAGAACAGAAACTAAAATAGGGATCAGTTGTAATAACAACAGAATTGAAAGAATCATAATGTTTGTAAAGGATAACCGAAGGAAGATGTGCAGTTAATGTATTTAATGAATAATTTTCATATTTTACGAAGTTACTGTTTAATTTTACATTCAATAATAAATTTGTATTCCCCAACTGAGTTCTCATTCACTTCAGTACCATAAATCTCCATAAAAAAATTGACGTACACCTAAAACTTAAGTACATAAACATATGTACATTTGGTAAATAATCTTTTTTTAACGATTCACTCCAAAAAAATTGACATCTAAACCAAATCTTCTACATGACAGCTGAAGATATTCATCAGTTTAGTATTGAAGATCATATTTTATTGTCTTCATATATATTTTTAACTATTCGACTACTTTAAGACAGTAGTACACCAATGTTGATATTATCACTCATTATTTCAATAGACATTGTTATTGTTAACACTATAGAAATTTGAACCCCCTCCCTTATATATACAAGAACAATTTGTCGTAACCTTGAAGTTATCTTGGTAATCCTTAAGTCATTCTATGACCTAGGATAACGCGACAATTTGTTACATATGTAGAATTGTTTCGCTCCTTTTTATCAGGATGGGTTCTGTGGAGAAAACCTGGAAGCACTGAACGGCCGTCTCGTCCTAGTATGGGACTCCTCAGCAGTGCGCATCCACGACCCCACCCCCCGCGAGACTCGAACTCATTACCTATCAGTCTCGCGCCAGGCGCTTAACCAACTAGACCACTGAGCCGTCATCCAACGGTTTTAATTTCTAACTTCAACCAATCCACGAAGTTGCGCCATCGTACACCATTGTCTTCAGTGAGTTGATATTTCACAACAGACCTGGTTGAACTCCACTGGTAACGGCTTCTCACTAAAACTTCAGGGGTATCTCCTGAAGTAAGTCACTAATGAGCAGGCGATTATTATCAGATTGGGTTTTGTGGAGATTTTTTAGAAATTTCACTGGTTAAGGAGTCTCACAATAGGACGAAACGACTATCCAGTGCTTCCAGGTTTTCTATAGTGGTCTAGCTTCAATTGACTTATGATTTCAACTATTAAATAAAATTATATTTTGATATATTAACAAGATATATGATTATTGTGTAATTTTCTTATCTTGATCATTACTTTTAAAGGTTCTCCAAATATGCCTCGTCAATTGCATACAAATGTTTTAACAACTAGTCAAACAAATCTTCGTCCTGCACATTCTACTCCAGCATTTCAAGTTAGTTAATAATAATAATAGTAATAATATTTTATTCTTTCTGGCTTATTCGTACAATATTAACATAATTATGGAAGAAAGTAAACAAGTAATATGTATGGAACCTTAATTATATCATTTGTTGGATTCTGTCATTTTATTTTATTTGAAAACATGAATATTGGTACGAAGGGACACCGAATACATATGTGTCACACAAGTTACTTGATTTGTGTATGAGCTGCTCATACTGCCGGGCTGCCCAAACCGAAATAGGTGGTTTTCTTAGGCAGCTACATCTGGATTTAGGATAACAGATCTTGGGTTTTGGTGCGAAATTGATTCACCCGTTCCTTGAGCTGGATGATTTAATTGCAAAAATTTCAAGTAGAGTTGCTAATTTCATTGAGCGTAAGAGTACCGGACTATTCAATGAGACTATCCAACATCATCACTATATTCTTTTTTGAGTGGATAGTTTCTATTAGTGAGTTCTTCATAACGCAAGAGTTTCAACAAAAACCTCTCATCATTAATACTATTTCATTTAATTGTGATTAGTTATTAGTAGTATTTCTTTTCTACAGTGGAATTGTGTATAATGTGATTAGTTTCACTTGAATACCATTAAAATGAAATAATCAGATTCGAATCCTGGAATGAACAACTCAACTCTGTGATTCAGGTACATCCAACTGTTCAGCTCCAAATAAGACGAAACATGCATCTTGGCTTCTACTTCAAGCCACCATCTATCATGTTTGCTTATAAATTTATTTATTTATTTATTTTAACACATAGATATTGGTACAAGGAGGCACCAAATACATATGCGCCACACAAATCTCATTCGATATGTGTGAGGGCTGTGATACTGCCCGATTGCCCAAACCGAAGGTGGTGGTTTTCTTAGGGGGCCACTCCCCGAGCCTTCGACCTGAAGGTCTGATCCACAAGGCAGTGGAACATCTTAAGGAGATGCAGTCTCATGGAAGCCGGTGGCCAACAATTGGTTCATGCGCCATTTGTTCCCTCAGGATACTGGAGCCCATGTAAACCATTGGTTTAAAATCTGGTTAAAGCGCCGGACATTCGCTTTTCGTCCTCTCGATTTCGTAAACAACACCCGTGATGCGAGAATGCAGTGAATAGGACTTCCCTTGCAGAGGCTATATACGCGTGGCCATGTGAGAGTATTTCGAGAGGGAGAGCGGACTCTCTTCACTCTCGGCCGTACCAGGGCATTTGGGGGCTTATAAAGTATATAAATGTTTCTTTTAAAATTTCAATAATATGGTTGTCTTTGATCGTTGAATGATACAAACAACTTTAAATATCAGTAATCATTTTAGATTTCAAGTGTTTTCATTGTGTGGTATCTAACGTCTTTTCATTATAACCTGTAATAGGGAAATTAGTTTAATTATGTGTAATTAACTGAACTATAATGATGATTATGTCATAAACGACTTATTCAGAAAGTATGTTAAGCTAGCTCTCTTTTTTTTCGTTGTTGTTGCTTAAGGGCATATTGGCTGAATTGACTTATTCATTGCTTTACATAATGCAAAGTTAACAAGTTTCACAGTACTGTTTTTTTTAAAAAAAACTGAAAAAGAAGTTTAACATGTTGAATTTAAGACAGTGACAATAAGGTAGATATTAGATGATAGATATTGGATACATTAGTTTTTGCTTATGTACCTAGAAATGTCCAAAAGACTATAGTCTAGATTTGTCACTCTAGGAATAATGAGTTCTATTAGTTTACATCATGGACTGAAATCCGATCAATATAATTAATCTATAAATTACAATCATCCCCTAGGTTCCAATCTCGTTATTTGCATCTACCGACTTGGATCAAATGAACAGTTATGGATTTCAATAATCATCACTAAACGGATTGTTTACAAAAATGGGATTGGAAATAATTAACTGTATGTATGTATATGCAATCATCATCTATTTTGACACCCACTGTTGGTTTGTTCAGGAGTAGGTTTATCAAACCTAAATAGGACATCAGTCCATTAAGTTATTGATTACTAGAGAGCCCTTTAGGTTATTGCAAACTACCGGGTTAGTGTCCGTGTGATTATCGTAACTAGTGTATCAGAATTGGTTGCTGTAAAACAGATATGTTTACTCTTTGTTTTCTCTTAAATCTTCAGTTCAAAAAATTATCTTGTACTTTTTATTCCACGAATGCATTCTTTGTTCTCGAATCATATTGTTTATGTCTAATGTTTTCTACTACCATTGATACTATTACTACCTTTAATATTCTGATATTTATCTTGATAATTCCACATCACTGTGTTGATATAATGCGGCAAATCGAACTTATGTATATATATACCTTCACACTAACATTGGTACAGGGAGGCACCAAATATATATATGCGCCGGACAAATCATTCGATTTTTGTGAGGGCTGGAATACTACTCAGGTGCCCAAACCGAAGCAGGTGGTTTTATTAGTGGGCCACTTCTCAAGCCTCTGACCTACAGGTTTGATCCACAAGGCAGTGGAGCGAAATCAGAAGATACAGTCCCATAGTAGCCAGTGGCTGACAAAGGTTTATACGCCATTCGTTCCTTCAGGATCCTGGTGCCCATGTGCACCATTGGTTTGGAATAGTGATTTTCCAACTTGTAGTGGGATCCTCCATAAGCGTCGGACATTCACTTTTCGTCCTCTCAATTTTGTAAACAACACCCCTGTCGCGAGAAGGTAGTGAGTAGGTTTTCCCTGGTAGTAGTTGTATTTCGAAGCGAAGTACACAAATTAGTCACATTGTAACTGAGTTAATAACAATAGAGTAACTTACGTTTACTTACATTTTTCAAATAAAAATTTCCATTTCATTATTTTTTTATCTCTTTCTCTGTATCTATGTTCTGTGCAGAGTTCTGATTCAAACAGTGCTTCGTCATGTACAAGTTCTACACCAGGTTCACCATTTGTCACCGGTACATCATTAATTAGTACAACATTAGCTGCATCATGTTGTACTCGTTTAGACAGTGGTTATGTTGGTGTTGGTAGTAATAGTATTAGTGTTAGTTGTAGTACTACCGGTCAAATGATTTCATTATCTTCTCCTCCATTACGAAATTTAAGCAACAGTGGTGGTTGTATGTTTAATCATTCGAATCCAAGTCATTTATCTTCACCAGTTAGTATACATTCTTACGGAACTGTTAATGCTGGAATTGTAACTAATACACAACAACAACAACAGCCTCATTCTCCTCGACATTCCGGCCAATGTTTTAATCACTTTGAATTTCCAAGTAAGTATTTTCGTATAAATTCATATTTAGTATATACATTTTATCGTTATCTTTTTTTGTGTAGTCATTATCATGTCTTGTCAATTATAGGCATATCTCCGGCTGTAAAATTCAATTGTAGATCAATTGACGATATTACTCGATTTGATGATAGAGATATAAATATTACTTTTTTACACCTGTTACCCGTCGTGGAAAACTAGGCCACCAACCAACATTCGTCAACCAACTCTGTTCTGGACTCTGCTTATGTGTATATAATTCCTTCTTCTACTCAATAATATGCGTTTTTACGTAGATGAACACTTCATTTACAGCTACCACTTCATTAAATTTCGTTGGAAAATCACCAGTCACATACGGTATTTTGTGCTGAAACAAATTGAATACAATGATACTTGGTCTACCAGTGTTTTTTTAAATAATCGGTTCCATGTCTAGTCTTAGATAAATAAGTAGTATCGTGTTCAATTTTCCCCTTATGTCTAATAAAATCGGCTATCTAAACCAACAGGTCGAAGACGTAGTTAAAATATGTGGTAGCAAATATTAAGGAGAGGTGACCGTCAACCCTCCCCGGGAGCGTTTATGCTTATGTATATGTCATAAAGTGCAAGAGTGAAAGTCTTTTTACAAGTGGTACACATGTAATGTGTAAAAGAAATCCACTTGTAACAAATTCGTTCGAAGGGAGTAAAAACCATCTGCCCTTCACGGGGGGGGGGTGAATATACATATGTGTACTCTATGGGATACATAAGTGAAAACCTATATGTTACCGATGTGCATATGACGTGTACTTGCCCCTAGTACTGGTCGCGCGCTAAGACCAGGGGCTGCTGGTTTACCCACAAAATCACATCCTCGGGGTGAGCCTTGAAACACGGAAACTTTTCAGAAAAGCCAGTGGACTTCACCAGATAAAGCTTCACGAACCTTGAACGGCTGAGCACCACACACCATGTTCAATCTTCAGGTAAGAAAGTATTTCTCGCTCTGTTAAGTAGTTTGATAAGTGTCAGGCAACCGAAAACTACATGTTACCTGGAACGGATTTGTGTCGACTAAGTCGCTACACACAATTTCAGCATAGGGAAAAGGGAAGTTAAAAAGATATTGAGCGAACTGATTTGGAATAATCATTGTACTAATGAGTAGTGCAAAATAATATCGTTCGATGATGAATTTATGGAATAAAAAAGTACAAAACATTATTTAAGTCCAAAGTTCTAGAGGCAGATATTTAATAAGTAGTATACCATCCGTTTTCCAATGTTCAGTAAGTGTGCGACGTGTAGCATTTTCGGGGATCTTTCTGTTCACTTATTGAGTGTGGGCTACGCGTAAATATATGGTTCTCATTAACGCTTTCGTTACGAACTCTAGCTTTCGCTGGTTTTCGGAGTTTTTCATCTATCAGTCTGGACTGCACTACACTGCTGCGTTCATAGTTGACGGATTCGAATAACTTAAGATTCTTAAGGTGAAATCTTCAGTAAAAGTTACGTTTACATACAGTACATAACTACTAAATTGACGGAGAGGTGGTCGAAAATACAGGACACCACATACTTACTGAACGTCGAACAATAGGTGGATGACCCCACTCCATGTATCCGAGGCAATCTAACCAATTTTTAGGATCGTAATGAGTTGTCTGACCTATAAGTGGAGCAACGCCAGAAGATTATTTTGTTAAAATGAGCTGAAATATACATTAACCAAATTTTCGAATAAATGACTATCGAAAGTAAATAATAGTTTGCTCTAAGATAGAAAATGACATCGTCCATAAAATCGTTGGAAAACGTTATAAGCTACATAAAAAACGCCTGTTATGTACATTTAAGTTTCATTACTGCAAATATTTTAAGCGACAGATTTGATAGTCTATTGTTTACTTTTTGGTTTTTAAGATGCATAAAAGTTTCTAGGTCATTAGTAGCGCTTTCCAATCGTGTCTCCAATGTCGTAGATCAGCTTTTTTAACCTTAGGAATATTCAGTGTAAGTATGCTGCAGGGCTCGACCTTAGCTCCTACTTTGATGTGATGTCAGGCTTGTGTGTTGTGATGACTCCAACGAGCTAAATTGGCAGAAACCTGTGTTATTTTAGGTCCTATCATGCTAAACAGGTTGGTTGGAGAATGGTAAATCTGAAAGCAGCACTTTGAAGCCCGAGGTCGAAGTTTTACTGTGGGCTGTCGATAGGTGTGCCAGCATTAAAGTATTTCTCTCGACCAACCAATGTCCGCAGCGATGCTGTCTTCTCATCAGAGAGTTAAGGAAAGTGGACCCTTGAAGCCACACTTCACCCTACTCCGGCATTAAGGCTTTTTAAAATGCGGAACCAACGCATAAAAATTCCCATAATCAGGTTTTTAGACCAGTATCAAGCAGTTGTCTCTTGGTCTCTGCGGTCACACTCCCAGGTCAATAATGTCACTTCTAGTCCAGTTTCTTTTTCAGGTCCGCAAAGGAGAAATATTTTTTTCACTGTATGGTCAACCGGGCAGTGACAACCGCTCTCAAAAATGCAACAACACCCGAGATCACCATGCTATAGGGCTGAGGATTCCAAGCTGGTGCTTGGATTTTGATAGAGCTTTATGATTTCCCAAATGTATATCCCATCTACCTCCAGCGTGCTTTTGCTAATTTCCTTTTCAGCTAATAGTTGGTTTGTTCTCTGGGACAGTGATTAATTAGCTTCTATAGTTTATCAGCTTTAAATATTCTATGGGAAATTGTAAACTACCGAAATCTTGTCCACTGATAATTCATCTTCATTGTTAGATTTTCTAGTGTAATTGTCTCCGTGGTGTATGCTACTTATGTCGATAGACACAAAACAGTATGTGACACTAATCTGAAGTGGAATACCTGGCAGCAGAATATTGAAGAGAACAAGGATGTAAGCAGCAGTTAATTAGAACTGTTCTTTCGTATAGTACTTATTTTTCACTGGTTGAAATCTTGAGTCAATTGAAGCTAGACCATCATCGAAAACCTGGAAGCACTGGACAGCCGTTTTGTCCCAGTATGGGACTCCTCAGTAGTGCGCATCCACGATCCCTCCCCCCGCAAGATTCGAACCCAGGACCTATTGTTCTCGCGCGCGAGCGCTTAACCATTAGACCACTGAGCCGGCATCCAACAGTGTTAATGTCTAACTTCAACCAATCCACGAAGTTGCACCACCGTACATTTGGATACATTCAAATGTTTCAGGATTGTTGTTTACTTGTATTATTTCTAATCATAACGTGTTTACAATAATGTCATGAATAATATTTGTATTGTATTTCTATTATATTAAAGGTGTCAGTCATCCAATCATAGATAATCAATTAGTAGACGGGAATTTCAATAATAATGTGAATAATAATAGTCCTTTAATTAGGTAAGTGTTGGGTTACCGCTTCACATTACCAATAGATCGGTTTTATCACATACTTATAATTATTAGTTTATATGTCAATCTTCACTTAATAGAACTTAATGTAGCTTATCTTCAAGCCAATTTGCATCCCTGAAACCAACAGCTTAATATATAAATAATTCAACATAATCTAACCAGAGGTTATGCTCTGTGACATTGTTCATGTATTTGGCAGTTTGACAGTATATGTATATCCATTGATAATGCTAAACAGTAATAAGCTTTCACATTACTTAACCCTAACATTCTGCAAGAAGGACAGAAGTATTCTTCACAAAAAAAGAAATACCTATGCGGAGCTATTCACCATTCATTACTTGTTTTACTAACATCAGCTTCAGCTGCGTTGATTGTAGTTTATTGTAGAGGAGGTGTAATCAGCTCATTCAGCTGGGTATTTCTGACTCCTTGTAGGGGTTATTGGTTATACAGTAAATCAAACTATAGGATATATGAATAAATTGAGTTATAATAGTTATTTGTAACTAAAATGTCATTATTGAATGATTTTATTAGTAATCTAGATCAATAGACTACTTCTTTTACTGTACTAGTGTTTTCATTGGGCCCTGACCCAGTCAGTGGTCGGTAATGGTGAAACATTTGTTTCGAGACCTAAAGGTCTTAATTTCGACCCTTGAGGAATGCTAAAGAGTCCTGTACTAGGATGAAACATCTATCCAATACTTCCTAGTTGCCAATGGTACTTCTCTAGTGGATTCTACTTGCAAGATTGTTTATAAGTATTGTGTAGCGAAATGTGATGTCTGAGTTGCTACATTTGTCACACTAAGTGAAGAGTTTTAGTCGATCGAAAGTGTGGCGTTCGCAGAACACTTGGAGACCAGGCGACATGATATTTCAAATTTCATAACACACCTAGAGATGTGAATCGAAGATTGAAATCTATGTATCATATTATTATATAAATACTTTATAACTTCTTATAATAAATACATTCCTCCTGTCTATTGTCGTGTTCTACATTTCAACTAAAGTCAATCTGTGATGAACACATTCAGCCCCCCCCATCCACCTCAAAATACCTATGATCTGTTCATATAAGGAATTATATACTGTAAATGTTTATAGTTCAAATCAATCGAATTGATGGATGTAATAACCTTAATGTGTTACTTAAATTTATTATTATTATTATCAAATTGTCAATCGTCATATAGCTTATCATGAATAACGTGCTATCATCAATGATGTATTTCAATTAATTACTTTCTAAGTGTTTCATTTCAATTAGTTATTCACATGATCTGTGAATTAGATTAGATCACATAATTACAAAACAATAAAATCAAATTTGTCCGATCAAATGTATTAAGATTATAATGTACATTGATGATACAAATGATACTGATCAGTTATTGTTATGTTATTGATAAATATGATTCTTTCTGAATGGTCGTAATGATGGTGATAGCTCAATCATGTCTTATTGATTAAACCGTGTAAGGTTTGAAACTGACTGTTTTTTTACATGGTTTAATTAGGAGAATTTTTTGTCGGCTAATACTTGAACTTAACAATAATTTCTATTTTTAGTAACCAATTTCTATCAGGCCTGAAGAACTAGTTTTACTTTAGATAGTATTTATTTATTTTCTGACTTTTGAAAATTCTTATAAAACTTCTTTTACCATCTTTTTGTAGTACTGTGTCTTCTGGAGAAAGTGAACGAACTGTTGTTGATGTAAGTTTTGTTATCATAGGCTACAATTTATCGACCTGTTTTCTGTTTATTACCATTTCATACTGGTATTTATGGTATGTAGAAGAAAAAGAGTAAGCCTAATAATAATGATACTTACAACTGACGGATATTTATGGAGTATCGGATTGACAACAGATTATGGACGTTAATGGTGGTTTGTTGAAGAATTCATTAATGCTACCTCAAATAGATTTACCTCTCTGGATTATCGTGAAGTTCTGTATTACTTTTATTGTGATAAACATGATAGGTTCATCTAAAGAGTGTGAATTCCGTTACTTAGCTTATCACTGAACATCGGTGATACTACTCGGCTGTCCAAAATAGAGTAAATGGAGCGGAGTTCGGACATGCGACTTAGTGACTAAAAGTCAACTATTGACCCAGTATTTGATCTGTCCTGGTTTGAATGGTGGTTTATGATCTCAGTGAAATTTCTTATCATCATTCTCCGCAGATCAGTATTCATTCATCAATTATTCGTTTCACCTAGTTCTCCAAGTTTATTTATATCAGCTTTTTCTTTAATCCATGTATTTTCTAACTTTGCATTGTGAAATCCATAGTCAATTACTTACTTACGCCTGTTGATCCTAATGGAATATAGGCCGCAGACCAGCATTCTCTAACCCATTCTGTCCTGGGCCTTCTTTTCTAGTTCCATCCAATTCTTGTTCATTTTTCTTATGTCTATTTCCATTTCTCGGCGTACTGTGATTTTTGGTGTTCCTCTTTTCCTTTGGCCTTGAGGATTCCATGTGAGGGCTTGTCTTGTGACGCAGTTGGGTGCATTCCTCAATGTGTGTCCTATCCACTTCGAGCGTTTCTTCCTCCGCTGGGATCTGGTTTGTTCTCTACCACGTGAATCAACGGTTAATTTCTAAATGAATGTCAAGAATTAGGTTTGGAGATTAAATAATTGAATAATTGATCATGAAAGCCGAGTTCCATAATCAATTAGTCAATTTATTTAATCTCCAAACCTAATTCTTGACATTCATTTAGAAATTAACCGTTGATTCACGTTTAATTTACTATTCATTTAATAGTTATTTCGAATTATGAATTTTTTTTCTTTCGTTTCTATGTATAGTAATATGTGTGCCAATTATTTTGGAATATCCGTCTACTATCTTTCTCGCTCTCTCTCTCACACACACACACTATCACTTATAAACATATACACATGAATACATCTTAGTAATTTTATCTGTTTACTTAATGTTTTGATCTTTCATGTTTACTCAGAATGCAGTACACCGGTTTGAATCAATGGATAGTCAAGATGAATCATCTTTAATGAGAACTAATAGTGTAAGCTTAATTATGTTTTGGTAAATGTAAATGATGAAAAAGTGTCTATTATTATTATTATCATTTAATAAAAGAATGATAGTTCAGTGAAGAATATTTGCTTTTCTATGATGAGATTTGGTAATGCTATACAATCGTGTTTGTACTTGTACATCATACTCTATGATTGGTTGGTTGGAAAATTCAAATGATCTAATGATTAAGCGCTCATTATGAGATATGAAGGTCTTGATTTAAATGCTCCTGTAAGGTCGAGAATGCACGCTACTGAGAGAGATGAAACAATGTCCGATGTTTCCTAGTTTTTAATGGTTGTCTAATTTAGGCTGGTTCATGGTCTCAATAATATAGAAGAGAGATATATGAAAGATAATTATCCATTTTTGACGCATCTAAGAAAGAGAAGTGATGAACGTGTTTTAAAAATAATTAACAAAACTAACAGGGAGTGTTGAAACGATGTCAAATAAAAGATTAGACATACCATCCCTGTATATGGAGACTACACTTGACTCGATGAAATATCAAAGCCTACTATATGCACAAATTTTACATCCCGCTTCTCTTGGAAATTGGCCCGTTTGACTTTGTAAATAATTTTAAATGAAGATTCATTTAGAGGCAATTAGGTGCAAGTGTTCCGTTATAGACTTTATTTCTATTATTATTTTAACACAGATATCAAATACATACGCATCAAATACACATGCGCCACACAGATCTCATTTGATAAGTGTGAGGGCTGTGATACTGCCTGGGTGCCCAAACTGAAGCAGGTGGTTTTCTTAGGAGGCCACACCCGGAGCCTTCGACCTGAAGGTCTGATCCACAAGGCAGTGGAGCATCGTAAGAAGATGCAGTCCCATGGAAGTCGGTGACCAACAATTGGTTCATGCGCCACGTGTTCCCTCAGGATACTGGAGCTCCGAACATTCGCTTTTCATCCTCTCAATTTCGCAAACAACACATTGAACGCGAGAATGCAGTGAGTAGGACTTCCCTTGCAGAGGCTACATACGCGTGTTCATGTGAGGGCATTTCGAGAGGGAGAGCGGACTCTCCGTCATAGAACTGGTAATTGATTGGGACTTAGCTTTAGATAACTGTACTAGGTAATGTTTCATTATGCGCTTGGATAGTGGACGTTTCGTGCAGCCAGTATATCATGTTCCATATTGAGGTGGCTTGAAATAGAGTTTATCATTAATACATATTTAGATCAGGTATGTACTGGAAAATACAATATGTGGCTTAGCTGTATAAAATATCCTTTAAATTAGCTAAATAATCGGTGTTCAAGACTTCTGCAGCTGTTTCTCCTTTCAACTTCGTGTTCTGGCTTCATGTTTTTGTAAGTGAACTTGAGAGTAAAGATTATGTCGGTCAGCGGCTGACATCATCTATTATGTCCTTGATTTGTCTACCCAATAATATGCATGGGAGAACTTATTTTGATCTAGGTTAAGGCCTTTAGATGATAGGTTAACTGGTTTAACCGTGAGGCTAGAAATAGGTGAGTTTGAGTCGAGACTAACCACCTTGGGCAGAGAGATGAAAACTATTCTGTCATTTGGTTGGTTAACAAGCGAGAGAAAAGACACGTTGACTGGAGCACTTCTTGATTTATTCCCGATTCAGATTAGTGTAAAAGGATACATGAATAAATAATTGACTACCTACGATCACAACGTACAAACAATTAGAAAATACGATTATGTCCAAAGTGGGCATTAGGATAGGAAAATGGAGTACCAAAGGTTACGTTCAAATCACAATAACTTTGGAACGAAAAAGGGCTATGACATCCAACGAAAGCTTATAATTTGTAGAATAAACTGGGTACAAAACTAAATGCTAGTGTTTTACAAACCTTGAACTAAGGAATTATTTCATTATAGTTTAAAGTTACTAAGCCAATTGTTACCAAGGATCTAACTCAGGTTTCATGGTGTATGCATCATTTTTAAAATCCCAGTTTCGAAATTCGATCATTTGATGTTTATAGAACATCGTTTATCTCCAGTACGATGTACGATGATATCCTGTGTCTGCTCAGTTAGCGTTCAGTAGAGTCTTCCTATAATGTTCATTACGCTCATTGAACAATTCCTGACATTTTCCTGCTTTTCATATTCCATAAGCTTCTGAAATATCAAGGTCATAAGTAAACCTATAAATATTCTTATTTTCTATGGTTCTAATAGCCTTGGACGTATAACGCTTTTCCATATTTCCTGCCTTATGTCTTATGGTTAAAAGTAAAATGTAAAATACATCTGTTGGACTAAAGAATGATTAAGAATTCAAAGTTTCGTATACCAGACGTATTAATCTCACTGATCGACAATATAGATTCCGAAATTTATCAACTTTATTTCAGTTTCATATCAAGATTGGTTTTACAAGTTACAATGGAAGATGGTCGCGCAATTTCGTGGATTGTTTGAGGTTAGACATCAACATCATTGGTTGCCGGTCGGTCCAGTGGTCTAAAGGTTAAGCGTTCGCGTGCGAGACCGAAGGCCCTGTGTTCGAATCCCGCGAGCGGGATCGTAGATGCGCACTACTGAGGAGTCCCACTATAGGACGAAACGACTGTCCAGTGCTTCCACTTTTCCAATACTGGTATAACATCAATCGGTTCATGATCTCAATCAAAAACTTAATAATCTCCATAACCCTATGCTGATAATTAAATTAAATATGTTCATTTAAGTTTCGTGTACCCGCTGATGATCATTGTTTTACCCTATTTATTATAATAGATATCAGTTACACTAAAAGAATGGGATATACCAATGGAAAATTTATTTATTGGTGAAATAATTGGACGTGGTACATTTGGTACAGTATATCGTGGTAAATGGCACGGTGAAGTAGCTATTAAACGTATAGATTTCGATCCAGAAGATGTAGATGATTCAATACGTGTTGAAGCGTTTAAACGTGAAGTTGCATTACTACATAAAACACGTCATGAAAACTTAGTACTATTTATGGGTGCTTGTATGAAAGCACCTGATTTAGCTATTGTTACACAACTTAGTCGAGTAAGTGTTTTATTTCTGTGTATGTCCCTGTATTTGCATCTTATTTTCTGTTTTACTTTTAAGGAATTTTTATAATGTTAAGCAGTTGGAAGTAGTTAGTAGAAAATCATGAACCTAGTGTAGTGGATGCTACTTACAAGATTGTTTGTAAGTATTGTGTAACGGAACGTTGATACAATTGTCAAACAAAGTGGAGTTTCAGTCCATCGAATGTACGGCGTTGGCAGAACACTTGGAGACCAAGCGAGAAGACATTTCAAATTTCATAACACACCTAGAGATGTGAATCAAAGATTGAAAGCTATGCATAGTGTATTATATAAATACTTTATAACTTCTTATAATAAATACATTCCTCTTGCCTATTAGTCGTTTGTTACACTAGGCTGCTCTCAAGAGGTCACTCATTAGCGAGGTGTTCCTGGTATTTACTGGGAACTGATGCTTCTTGTGTTATCCGAATGTACATCACTTAGTTTCATATTTAGAAATGTTACCACTGATCTGATATTTTGTAGTGCTGAAGTACATTAGTTGATCACTATCTAAGTGATGCCGATTCAAATTTTACAAGAAACACTAGTTCCTAAAAATTGCAGGTGCGGTTTGTTGACGAGTAGGAACTAGCAAATATATCGAACAAGGTTTACTACCTAACGTGAAAACATAATACACGTGATGTTGAGTCACTTGCACTTGTAGTCATATTGTAACTAAGTCGATAGAATCTTGAAAACTGTAAATTTGACAAAAATGATATTGGCCTCCACTGAATTAAGATCAGTATCCTATTGATAAAAATTCAGCTAGAAATCAATATGTAACTTATTTTGAAAGACAGATTTCTCTGTTCCTCTCTTTCTTTCTGTCTGTTCTGAAAAAACCTTGATTGATTGGGCTGGTAAATGTTGTAGCGATAAAACTGCAGTTGGTATTGGTTATGACAGGATTATATTCATGTCCACAGGAGAATTCAAGTTGCCAGCTTTACAGAAATGTAAAAAGTGGTAATGTTTCCGCTGAAGTTGTTTAGTATTCGCTATCCTATTTGGGGGAAGGTCGCAGGAAAACTTGACCCTATAATCTGCATATTGAACTTCGCCTCCAAATCTCTTTTAAAGCAGAAGGGTGCATACGATTTTGTTACACACTCATAGAACTCCATATTTGCAAGCAAACAGAACCGGGTTTTTTATGGTGGACATAACATGTTTTTCCAGTTATGTGAAGGAACTGTCAGTTTCACCAAGAACTAAACAAGTAAATTTAAATTAAACACTTACCATTCTAGTAGAACCCATTGTTATTCGATCTGCTCATTTTTTGGCATCTCCCTTGAAACTAAAAACATCAAAATGAGTTCTAATTGTTTCGAACCATCGCCAAAACTCTAACCATTGATACTATCTTAAAGAGTTTATTTATTTATTTAAACATGAACATTGGTACAACGAGGCACCAAACAGATATGCGCCACATAAATCATTAGGCATTTGTGAGGACTGAAATACTGCTCGGGTGCCCAAACCGAAGCAGGTGGTTTTCTTAGGTGGCCGCACCCAGAGCCTTCGACCTAAAGGTGTGATCCACAAGGCAGTGAAACAACGTCAGGAGATGCGATTCCATGGTAGCCGGTGATCAACAATTGGTTCATACACCATTTGTTCCCTAAGGATCCCGGTACCCATGTACACCATTGGTTTAAAATTGTGGTTTTTCAACTACTCTAGGTGGACCCTCCATATCCACCATCCCAGTTAAAACTCCGGACATTCGCTTTCTATCCTCTCAATTTCGTAAACAACACATTGGACGCGAGAAGGCAGTGAGTAGGACTTCCCTGACAGTGGTGGTATACACCTGATTGCTTGAGAGCATTTCGAGAGAAAGAGCTGACTCTCCCTACTCTCGGCCGTACCAGGGCATTTGGGAACTCTTACGGAGTACTGGAATAGGGATATTTGCAAGTGTAATACATCTTAAAATTAATAGCATCTTGTGTATTTTTTTCCATATAAGCGATATATTGTTACCCTTGTTTTCTTTGAGTTAATGGATCAATGTTTTAATGGTTTAGTCAATTACGTGAATTTCAACTTATAAATCACATGTTCGAAATTCTCTTCACACTTATTTCAATTCTAGGTCGTTAGGTTATATTGTAGTGCCTGTTATTATGTTAAGCCCGTATACCTTATTCTAGCTTTCGGACAGCCCATTCTATTCATACTAGTTGGAGTCAGATCCCGGGTCACTGAAGTGGAGAGCCCTTCGACGACGGCAAAATAAAGGGCCTCAAAAAAAGTGGTGAGCCCGCCGACGACGACGAACTCAACGCAGCAAGCTACGTCGATGAAGAAACTTCTACATTGTATACTTTCAACGAACGAATTCAGCGAAGCCAGCACAATTTCTAATCCGACGCACTCAGCAAAGCCTGTGCAGTACGTCATGGACATGCACAAATCGTATTATCTTGTCGATACTTTGTCCTTATGTCAACTATCCTCATTGATCCATTCGTCGGATCGTTCCATTATGAATCAAATGATCACCTCGGGCTCACCACTTTTTGTAAGGCACTGTATTTTGTCATCATTTTTAAATCGGACGATGTTCGTCGAAGGGCTCTCCACTTTAGTAGCTCAGGATCTGACTCCAAGTAGAATGAATAGAATGAGCTGTTCGAAAGCTAGACTAAGGTATATAGGCTTAACATAATAACAGACATTACAATATCGCTAACCTTATTAATGTGCCTTGTAACGGCTGCATACATAAATAGACCTTCTCACGTGCTTACTGGATTATATAATTTTCCTGTGAATATATTTACTGTATTCGTCTTTTTTCATTTTATCTAGGTACGTTTTTATATTTTTCGTTTCACATCATAGTAATAATGATCCTGTTTTTCTTCTTCTTCTTCTTCTTCTTGTTCTTCAATAATCAGGGTGAAACATTGTATCATTTAATTCATGATCGTGATAATATTATGCCAATTAATCGTACAATAAGTATAGCTAGTCAAATAGCTAAAGGTATGGGTTATTTACATGCTAAAGGCATTGTACATCGAGATTTAAAAACACGAAATTTATTTTTAGAAGATAATTCACGTGTTGTCATTGGTGATTTTGGTGTATTCAATTTTGTACGTCTTTGTAAAAAAGCTAAGTAAGTTCACATAATTATCTATTAATGTATTTTGATTATTTTTATTTGAACACATAACTTTTGGTACAAAGGGGCACTACACAAGTCACTTGATTTGTGTATGCGCTTTAATACTGCTCAGGCGCCCAGACTGAAGAAGGTGGTTTTCTGAAACAGCCACTGTCTGAGCCTTCTACCTAAAGGTCTGATCTACAAGGCAGTGGAGCAACGTTAGGAGATGTAATTCCATGGTAACCGGTGACCAATAATTGGTTCATACACCATTTGTTTCCTTAAGGATACTGGGACTCATGTACACCATTGGTTTGGAATGATGGTTTTCCAACCCCCCTTTGGTGTGGATTCTCCGTGTCCACTAACTCAGTTAAAGCTCCGGACATTCGCTTTTCATCCTCTCAATTTCATAAACAACACCGTCGAGAGAAGGCAGTGAGTAGGACTTCCCTGACAATTGGTGTACACGCGTGTCCATGTGAGAGGATTTCTCGAGGGATCTGACTCTACCCACTCTTGGGGGCATCTATTAATGATTTATTTTTATACTTCATAATAATCCTAGTTAAAATTATTTATTTATCTTAATTACATTTCAATTAATGGCATCACTTCATTCAACTATTGAATGTCGATCAGAGCCATACATACACATTACCGGGTTAAAATCTTCCTGGTCAAATAGGTTGAGTGAAATAACCTAAAATCGACCACAATACATTCCTTTGGAACTTCAGGTTCAATGTTTCTTCACATATACCTTTTCATCACGTCGTCTTGAATTTTAACTTCAGTGTTTAATATTTCTCGTCGTCAGTGTTCAGTCATGAAACTTAGAACTTGACACATCTGTGTATCGGTTCAATTTATCGTATCAAATTAACACAGTGAGATAAAATTGTTTTTAGATAAACTCCAGAGTACTAACAGTATCAACGTTAGTAGAAAAGATTAGATATAGAAAAAATGAAGAATAGCCTAAAGAGATTTCAGGACCCATATTACAAAGTATAATGTTTCTTTTCAGTTATTATTGTTTAAGTTCATGAATTAGTTTATTTTTCCACTATCCCTTAATACATTTTCATTGTGATATTGTTATGATCTTGATGTCTGGCTTTTCTATCACGCGACTTATCGACCAATCAGAATACGGCTTATACAATCTTCTCACTATGCCAAACCAATGACGTTCAACCGGTATGAGCAGTTTAGCGTCCTTACTGGTCCTATGTCCTCCTAGCCCTTTCACTTGAGTCCAGAACACAATACCAGCTTCCGTAATATGAATCGAATCGTAATCGAATCTGATCGAATCGTTTATTTCAGACATACCGGGTTTATATATCAACCAAACAGACCGCAACACACCATAAAATAGAAATAACATGTGTACACAAATAAGCCAAAAAGTGGCTGTGAACGAGGGGGACAGTAATTAATAGACTGAGCATAGCTTAAGAATCGTAAATCGTACAATAATAAATTATAGGTCAAAATAAAGCTTATAATAAGAGGAATATAAATATACATAGTGTAATTGTTGAGTAGTTATACAATAAGAATATTAGTCCATGAATAGTCCTTGGAAGTTATCTGTAATTTAATCTTCACTGGGTTATAACCGATATTATAATAAAAAGAAAATAAAAGTCATTGATTTGTATATTTTTTCTTCACTGGATGGGTGGGGGGGGAATTTCTAGATGGGGCAATTATTTGAATGTTCCACCATTTTGGTTATGCTATATTGCACCGGAAATTATTCATGCACTTAACATAGGATATGTACTGGCTACTACAACTAATGAACTACCATTAACTACATCTTCTGATGTTTTTGCTTTTGGGTAAGTAAAATGATATTGTTGTGGAATGATGACGTAATAGTGTCTTTTCTTGTTCTTATCAATATCATGAAATAAAGAGTTTGGGGAGTTTTTTAATTCATATTATAAACTGGATCTAGTTAGAAGGAAGCGTCGGGTAGTTATTTTGTCCTAGTATAAGAAGATCTAACTAAAGGGGCGAACTCATAACCTTTCGGCTAACCATGTCGACTGTGAGTCAGTAATTTACAAATTGTACTAGATAATGGTTACGCAATATCTCAAATCGATTGAGGTTAGAACTATTAATCATTGAATGCCAACCAGTAGTTCAAGTGTTTGGAGCTCGTCGCTAGAATTAAGAGTCCCTATTACGGTAGTGGTTGCACATTTCTAAGGTGTCCTACACTAAGACGAAACATCTGTTCAGTGGTTCCTGGTTTTCGATAGATGTCATGGATATATATATTCACACTCATTGCAAAAACCAGTGGATTCAGTAGCTAAATAGAAAACGCATATCCAAAAATAATCTGACCGATCGTAGCGCTTAACATCAACAGTAAGATTTGGAAATAGCTTGCAAACGAATAGAAATAATTGTTTTTTAATGTCATACCATTGACGTTAGAAGAGATCAAGAATAACCGTGAAAATCCTAATCCCGCTTATTAATCAGTGATTGTACATATACTACTGATAGCAGAAATTTATCTCTACAAAAGTAGTGAAACTGGAGTTTATTTGATAGCTTTATCAGATCTGTGAGTATTAGTGATGGTATGGATGCACGACCACGAATCTTAGTTACGGTACTTGAGACTAATCTGGCAGTTATCTCTGAGTAGTTTTTAATGTCGAAGCATTGTGTTATTCAAACCTCCTTGGCATGGCATTTTTCGAATTAATGAGTGTTGCAGCCAATATAAATAGTTGATGTTATGACGATGTTTAAACATTATCACCCCATCAAGATAGCATTTATAGATGTGTCTCAATCTCAAATGACTCGATAATTTGACTAACCCTTACTTCATTTTTTACCTAATATCGATAATTTTAACTAATATTTCTAAAAATTCATGTTTAATTGGATGTTTTTCTTCAATAATATCTTAGTACTGTATGGTATGAACTGTTAACTAATGAATACCCTTTCAAAGGATTACCTGCTGAAGCTGTCACCTACTTAGTTGGACATGGTGTAAAACCGAATTTACGAATTCAATGTCCTAAAGATTTTAAGGTAAGTACTCGTTCTCTGTGGGCTTTTCTTTTCAAGTTTCTCCGTTAACCAATCGTTATTTATTTATTTCAACACATAGATATTGGCACAAGGAGGCACCAAATGGATATGCGCCACACAAATCTCATTTGATATATGTGGGGGCTGTGATACTACCCGGGTGTCCAAACCGAAGCAGGTGTTTTTCTTAGGGGAGCACACCCGGAGCCTTTGACCTATAGCTCTGATCCACAAGGTAGTGGGGCGAGGTCAGCAGATGCAATCCCATGGTAGACGGTGACCAACAATTGGTTCATATGCCATTTGGTTCCTTAAGATCCTGGAGCTCATGTGCACTATTGGTTTTGAATTATAGTTTTCCAACTCCCCCAGGTGGACCCTCTATACCCACCAACCCGGTAAAAGCTCCGGACATTCGCTTTTCGTTCTCGCAATTTCATTGAACAATACCTTGGACGCAAGAAGGCAGTGAGTAGAACTTCCGTGGCAGTGGTTGCATGCATGTGGCTATGTGAGAGCATTTCGAGAGGGTGGGCTGACTGTACCCACTCTCGGCCGTACCAGGGCATTTGAGGGCACTAAATACGTTGGTTGATTTCGATTAATTCATCAGATTACGAGGTACTTAACCTTTTACATCAGTTTTGACGTGAGCGAAAAAAAAGGTTGTTATTTGTAGTGTTTAATGCATATTTTTAATTTTTTACATAGTTGGTTAACAGTGAGTGATAATAAATGTTAAACCTGGTACATACTTACTAAACTATATCAGAACAAAGAAATAAAATCTATCAAGACAAATGCCAATATAGTAGACAGTAATAACATTATCGATGTTAGCAGTAAACATTTGATATGGACACCAAGATGTAAATAGACAGAATAAATTTATCTAGTAGAAAAAAATGTAAGAGTGAATATATATCTGAGCTTTTTGCTATTGATTCTAAGCCAGATCATCGATCTACAGCGAACACACCTTAGTCTGGTAGCTAATGGCTTCATAGAAGAATAATAGTTCTTGGCTGACTCTAACTTTCAACCTACTCCTACATCAGTAAACAATTACGCATCCAGTTAGGTAGTTGATTGGCATAAGTAATTCATGTTCTAAGCACGTCAGTCTAATATATACAGCCTCATCATTCAATTTTCGATGTTTGCCCAGTATTCTGAGTATAACTTCAGTATTGCCTTACTCAGTGGTCTTCACATATGGCAACAGTTCGGTCAACAAATAGCTACAATTATATACATCAACAAGGACCTCATTCCTACAATTGGAGAACATATGGAACTGAAAACAACTGTCAACCAATATCAAAGTTAGAGTCTTTAATACGGACATCAAGGCAACTCTGCTGTACGGAGCTGAAACTTCGAGAACTATCACAACCATCATCAATAATGTACAAGTATATATAAGCAATTATCTACGTAAGATACTGAATGTCCGTTAGCTGGATACCATCATCAACAGTCTACTGCGGGATAGAATAAACCAGCTTCAAGATGAGGAAATGATGATGACACTGGGAGTGGATAGACCGTACATTGAGGAAATCATCAAACTATATCACGAGCCAAGCTCTCACATGGAATCCTGAAGAGGGACGGGAAAAAAGGAAGGCTGAGGAGCACTTTGCGTCGAGAATTTGTAGCAGACATGAAAAGGATGGATAGGAACTGTAAACAGTTGGAAGGGATTGTCCAGTGCACAGTTTTGTGTAGAATGTTGGTAGGTGGCCTACTCTACACTGCGAGGGGTAACAGGAGTAAGTTGTTTTTATATATATATATATATATATATATATATATATATATATATATATATATATATATATATATATATATATATATATATATATCAGCAACGATAATGTTAAAAATAGTACTTTGTTTGTACTATCATTTTCTTTTACCGATTTAGGAAATTCTTGTTCAATGTTGGGCATACAGTCCATGTAAACGACCAGAATTTACAACTTTAGTTAAATTATTAGATCGTCTACCAAAATTACATCGTAGTCCATCTTATCCAGCTAAACCATACACTGGTGTAGCATCTGGTTCACATGGTAGTCTTCTAGCTTAATAATGATGATGAATAAACCAGCCCTGGGGATCGAGTCGTTAGCATACAACACAATACAACATTGTCTATCATCTGGGATTACTATTTATGTTATGATGGAAAATCAAAATATCTTCAGCTTTATAATAATAATAATGGAGAAGCTTACAATTTTTTTCTTTGAGTTCATCATGGTTACTGCACTGTCGTACTAGTTGGATGTAATTCTTCGAAGTACCTTGCTATGTAAGTGACCTAAACAATCAAGTACTTTCTTGTCCACCGGAATGTTTGTCTTAAGAGAAGCATATATATGGTACCTATGTTATTCTAAGCGCTATTTACTTGTGATCATATTTGCCTCGCACTCACACACCTCGACAACGCATTCTTCATTGTTTACTGTTTGTTTTTCGATCAAACATGAAGCATTTGTTTTTTTTTTATGCCTGTTCATGAATAAAACTAATGTTTTTTATCACAACAAATTTCATATACAATATGAGAATTCTTATGTTTGAGCGTACACTTATATCAACTGTCTCACTCTATAGTGTTTGACAACCATTCACATAATGTATATTCTTTTTTTCCTATGGTTCCAATGATTTGTTTAATTTATTTAACTAGTCTTTCATTTCATGAATACACAATAGAATAAACCATATGTTGTGGAGAACAGAACAAAATGTGTATGCGTGCAGGCAGATAAATTTCAATTGCCTAATCTAATCCATTATTATTATTATTTGTTAATAATTCACTATTCAATGGATTATCAATGATTTACACATATACCTTTTTCCTCTATTTGTTCATATTGTAAATGTATTTGTACCTTATTTACTAATAATTATGTGTTTTTTTTCTTTTTTTGTACATGATTGTAAATGATAAATTACAATTTATTATTTATATATTAACTAATAATTATAATCTTTCTAGTTAACTTTGTACAAATATTTCTCTTGTTTTACTGAAATGTAAAAAAAATAAGAAACAAATTCAACTGTGGTGTATTGATGCCTTTTTCTTCTCCCTCTCTCTCTTATTCACTGCTCTACGTTAATGTTCATGTTAGAGAGAACGTGAATAGTGTAACAAATGCGTTGATACGGCCATCGAAAAATACTCATATGGCCACGTGTATACAACCACCGACAGGGAAGTCCTACTCACTGCATTCTCGTGGCGGGGGTGTTGTTTACGAAATTGAGAGAACGAAAAGCGAATGTCTGGCGCTTTAACTAGGTCGATGAAAATAGAGGGGCCACCTGGGGGAGTTGGAAAAACTAATTCCAATGCAATGGTGCACATGGGCTATGGAATTCTAAGGAACCAAATGGCATATATACCAATTGTTGGTCACCGGCTAACATGGGATTACATCTCCTGACGTTGCTCCACTACCTTGTAGATCAGAGCTTCATGTGTTGACCCATAAATAAGCCATCTGCTTAGGTTTGGGCACCCAGGCAATATCCCAACCCTCACATAAATCGAATGATTTATGTGCGCATATCTATTTGGTGCCTTCCTGTACTAATGTTTATGTGTTTAAATATTACTACTAATAATAAAACATTTTTAGTGAGTAGTAAAGAATCCATCTTTGACATCTTGAAAGAGTTAGGTTACTTTAGCAGCGATTAGATATTCTCTTATATGGTTTAGTACAAAAGTCCCATATCTTTAAATAAAAGAAAAGCTGGAAAATATACAGTGCTTATGTCTCATATTGTAAAACTCAGTGACACTCGATTAAATCTTTCAGTGAACATCAGTGGCTACGCTCTGCTGATGAGTGCTAACAAGAACGAAATGTTGGTCCAGGGTTTCTTGTTAACTGCCACCAACTATCTCAAGTCTGAACATAGTGTACACGGTGTTGAGTTGTCTAAATCAATAGACATATTTCAACTTAATTGATAGAATTTGGTCAGCTTTGAAGAAAAAGAAGAAACACGTCTTAGTAACTAATTAGTTATAAACTTTCTTGATCAGTATAACATTTACAACAGGGGACATAAAGGAATGAGTGCCAGAGGTGTTTTCTCCAAGATGATTGATTGGACGATGTATCTAATTTCTGAGTTTTCATCCTACGAAAAAAAATGCTTCTTTCCTAAACTAAAGTTAACGCATATCAGAGATAAAACTGAAGAAACTTGTCGCGAAATTCATATTCACTGCTTAATAACTAAATTGTAAGAATAGTTTTTTGCCTATTATAGCCACTTACAGCATATCGTACGAAATATAACGGAATCTTGAGTTGGACTACCTTAGACTCAATTTCATATTGCAAGTAGATAGTATATAACATTTCCCAAGGTTTGATTAGTGATTTCTAGTCTTTATCATAATGTATTGAGATTGTGAAAGGACTAGTTTCACCATCATTGTCGTCATTTACCTTAACAGATTCGTGTAGGTCAAATGATAATAAGAGAAGTTGAAAGGGTATTATGAAAGTTAATTTGATTTGTAGGCTAGATTCGTCATAGATTGGTGAAAATTGAAAATGAAGTACACAACTGTGCAGTAGTAGTGTGTACTCAATAGCTTTAGGTATTATGACCATCGAATACCATTATAACCTCTGGATCAGTGTTGAATGATGTAGTTTCGATTTCAGTCAATTGACGATATAGCGCAAAGATTATCTAGTACCAATAATGATACCTATTATACTCCTGACATATCTGAACTCCATTAGTCAAGTATTTTCATTAGAACTTCAAAAATATTTCGAACTAAGACTATTGTGATCTGATTATCATAGTTTAGTCAAAAGAATGTTGTGCAGATAGGTTTAAACTGTTACAAACTAATCTCAAATTAATTAAAGTTGAAATTGTACTGTAAGTAGCCAATGATTGCCACCCCCCCTTCCAGCCAAACAAGTTGATGAAGCCTAGTAGGCCCTTCTGGAAAGAAACAGGCCACATCAAAGCACGGTACAACTACCAAGGCTAGAATAACTGTTTTTTCAATCAGTTGGAGTTTGCCCCATGAGGAGAAACCCCGTACATTACATGTACTACTTTTGTCGTTTTTCCATCCAAGAGTAATTGTGTTGTGTTTCTTTGTGGAGTTCGTAGTCGATTTGAGGGTATCGATCGAGTGGGTGATTAACCCGATCTCTACCACCCGGGGTTACCTCTCACATCAGTTCATGGGTCATCTATCCCACTATCCAGGAGTCACGTTGCGGACATGTGAGTCGGATTTTGCTTTCCTATTTTAATGGTTAAGCATTTATTAAGAGATTTCAAGGTTTTGATTTAGACTTATCGACAACATAGTGATTACACATAAGCACAAAACCTCATATTAGGACAAAAGAGTTATTCAACCTTTTTTTCACTACAACCTAAGATCATTCTATGATGAATACAACTGTTTCCAACATTTTTAAACGACTAACAAATTATAGCGCGCGAAACCATTAGGTCCTGAGTTCGAATCTCGCAGGGGGCAAGGTCGTGGATACGCACTGCTGAGGAGTCCCACAATAGGACGAAACGGCTATCCAGTGCTTTCAGGTTTTCCATGGTGGTCTAGCTTCAACTGACTCATGATCTTAACCATTGTAAATACAATTTGTTTACTAAATGTATATACAATATCAACCAAAAAAAGGCCAAGTTTACAAAATCAATTTGACCAAATTATAATAAATAATAAAAATTCCAAATTAAAGAAGAGACAACCAAATAACCGGCATCAAGTTTTAAAATCATTGAGAGCACAAAAGAATAGAAAGACAAATTACGCAATCTTGCACACACACAAGTATGTGCACAGGTCTGTCTGTATGCTAATCATAATATGGAGGGGTATAATGTAATGAACCCATTGTGTGCATGTGTGTGTGTTAGATAAACATGTGGTGCAGAATGAGGTGTGATAGGCATACATATATCTATACATGTTTCTAGATAAATATCTATTGCCAAATTGATAATTCATTATCATAATTCACTTGATTTTCATAATATAATTTAGATAAATTTTCAATGGCTATATGACCGCATAGAGCACAATCATTAGCAATGATTTCATCAAATAGATCCTGAATAAATAAAAAGAAAACAACCGAAATAAGGATAAAACATTTAATTCATTTGGATTAGTTGTTTCAATATTCCTATGGATATGTTACGACTGTAATAGATCAGTCTCTTTTGTGTATATGTGTACTGTGTGTAGATTGCCTCGATATTACTGCCTCCAAATGCCGAGAATGGGGCGAGTCAACTCTCTCATATGGACACGCGTATACAGTCCCCGCCATGAACATTCTAGTAGTAGGAGTGTTGTTTACAAAGCTGAGAGGATGAAAAGCGAATGTCTGACACTTAAATCGGGTCGGTGAACACGTATAGTCCACCTAGGGTTATTGGAAAACCACAATTCCAAATTAATGGTGCGAATGGGCTCCAGGATCCTGAGCGAACGAAAGGTATATGAACCTATTGTTGGTCACCGACTATAATGGGACTGCCTCTCATGACTTTGTGGATCGGACTTCTAAGTCAGAGGTTCGGAAAGTGGTTCCCTAAGAAAATCACTTGCTTCGGTTTGCGCGCTCCTGCACTATCCCAGTCCTCACGCAAACCAATGATAACTGCAACTTGCCTCATTGTTATTGTGTGGTGCATATGTATTTGGTGCCCCATTGTATCAACGTTTTTATGTGTTCAGATAAATATTTTAAGGAGGAATGGATGGTGGTTAGCAATATGACCTGGAACGTGCGTTTCGTTCAACTTGAGTGAGACCCTAGAGTTGATATCCATTCCAGGATAGGAATCCAGAACTATTGGCTATTGCGTTACATACTTAGTTATTGAGTTCAGATTGTGTCATTACTATGTTGCAGTGAGTGAAAAAGAGGGAAAAAACCATGTAATCAATTCGCTGTAAGTTTATCATTTTACCGTCGAGAATTTAGAAGATAAATGTATAGAGACTCTAAGCACATAACAACAACTGACTGTAGAATATTGTCTGTGTATTATCGAGCTAGTGAATGTGGACAAAACCAGTATCCTAGTGTAGTCAACGAATAGTTTATCTTTAAAATACAATCAATCAAGGCTATTGAACATATGCATTACTCATGTATATCAATGCTTAACTAATTTCTTAATTTCCTAGTCTCCTCAACTTGATTTTCGTGCAGGTTGATACTCGTTAGCCAGGCGTACTTAAAATCGTAAGGAAACTGATAATCGCTATTGGATTTTGACTAAGGTAACTCAGTTTCACAATCTGAAACGTTATTACTGAGCTACACGGGCCACAAATGATATGTTGTAAGACTGAGATATTTACATTGATTGGTCTCTGAGAATTGATTGGTATTGAGTTTGTCTATTCTTTGGTGCGGATTGCAGTTATAACTTGTTAACGTCTGTCTGTTAACTAGCATGAAACTCATGTCTAGGATTTCATACCGCCTATCCACAAGCATCCGGTATCTAAATAGCCTGCATGAGATTTGACCTCACATATAGTAGTCCTACATCTGAGTCCAGTTAGATCGTATGCTTGTTGTCATCGAAATATACTTGCAACCAAGCTAGCTGGTAGAATTCGGTTAGCACTAAAGTCTAGATAAATATAACATTGGTCATTAATCAATGGATTGGTCTATTATTAAACATGTCTAAGGTACTAACTGTAGTCATTTACTGTAGATTGTGAGAAATTCGTGAATGATTCAGCCGATAAGAATAGATGAAGCTTTTAATCATGTCGTGGATCAACCGATCGAATCTCCAAGTAATTTTACGAAACATTTTAAGTGTTATGAGATAAAATGGAAGAATTAAGTTGCAATAAAATCAGTACTATAACTAACTTCAACATTAGTTACAGATGGATTATTTCCAAGATTTTGAGATTCGACAACTTTTGACAATTGTGATTTTTCCTCTGCTGATAAATATGGTTTCACCTGTAAAGATAGTAAAATGGGAAAATCATATGCTTGATTTGAACAAGTGAATATGTATAGTAATAACAAGTGTATCTTATTGAATAACAACAACGAAAATGACTGCATTTCCCGTCCACTATGATGCTTCATATTTCACTGAGTCGCACAATACTATGAAGATAGTACAAGACAAGTAGTTGTTTGTTGTGCAACGAATGTGTGAGCAATATTGATGTAGACGTAGGTCTACTAGATGGAGATGGCAAATCAGTTGGTGAGGTGTTTGCCATATATATCATTTGACACCATCTACTGTCTTTAGACGTTAGTTGACATCACGTGTTAAGTTAGTCAACCAGAATTCTGATCACTATATGTTTCTACCCTGTGTCTGTCATTTCTAACAGTAGCATAGTACCCTTAACTCTGGACAATGACACGTTCGGATCGGCACAAATAACTATGCCCAAAGTAAGCTATACTGCTATTGATAACCTATTTGCAAGTCTTTCTATTTACCAAACTTGAGTCCGAAGAAAAGTCAGCAACCAGCTTCTACTATATGTATATTTCAATCGCTCAACCCAGTCAACAACTATCTCAAACATCCATTAGCTTAGATGAAAGAACTGTTAGACCGTATAGCACACCGAATAAAAAAATCATAATTTAAACACAAAATCATGCCATAATTGGCGGAGAGCGAAGCAAGCAAATCACTTAGTAATAATTAAGGAATGGTAAAACCTATAACAATAGTTGTTAATAGATCCACTAGAAGCTCATTATAAAGAGAATATAGAAATACAGTTATCTATCGATCATACAATAACTAACTTTTCCAATACTTGATCCATTGTGTTGCCAACCACCGCCTACTTCGAAGTGCGATATTTGCTGCTGTATGAGTAAGTTGGAAGGAAATTAAGAGCAGTTAAACCAAGATGTAGCACCAGTTCATGACCTTATTTAATGTTGAACTGTCAAGTATATAGATGCAAATAACCTGCTTGGTATCTGTGCGATTATTGTAACCAACGATTGAATACGTTGGATCACATGATTCAGAATCGGTCACAATAGCGTAGATGCATATTTCTCTTTCCTTTAAACCCATACATTTTAATAGTTGAGATCATGAGTCAACTGAAACTAGACCAACACGGAAAATCTGGAAGCACTGGACAGTCGTTTCATTCTATTGTGGGACTCTTAAACAGTACGCATCCACAACCCCACCTCGCGAGATTCGAACCCAGAACCTACATTTTATTTTATGAATACCTTATATCTTATCAAATCTAAATGTCTACATTTATCGTTTCCAACACCTCTAATACTATTACAATGTCTACTACTCTAGTATTCGTTATTTTATCACACAGTGCTGTTCTGGTGAGTAGAAACGTGAACTGATACACATATATGCCATGTTCTACATTTCTTACGATTAATTGACGAAAGCTGAGAATGAAATATTCTCTTTCTCTTAAGTTTATTTCTTAACTAATAGAAAAAAAATGTTACATAATAAATAATACTTTATAAACGTTACTTTTATGATGATAAACAACCAACTTTACCATAACTTACCAATTCAGTGAGACAACTTATGTGAAAATTATGACCACAAGGAAATACATAAAATGCACGTAAAGTTAAAAGGTGATTGCAATGAGTACAACGTGAATCATTCTCTATAATTTCATATCTGTAAATGCGAAAACAGAGAGAGGGAAGTGAACAATTACCGTGAAAAACAAAACAGGATATAATCAAAGTGACTATAATGACTGCAGGGATATAAAAAAATGTGATATTTAGAAATAAAACTGTTATGTACCTGAAAAAACTAACGTCTTTATCTTCAGAATAAGGTTGTGGAGATGATTAAATTTCATTAAAACCACGAACTGACCAATGTTAGACCACCATTAGAAATGTGAAAGCACTGAATGGCCAGTTCGTCCTAGTATGGAACACTCAGCAGTGCTCATCCACGTTTCCATTTGAGGAATAAAACACAAAACGTCAGGTTTTGCGCACGAACGTTTCACCTCTAGACCAGCAAGCCAGCATCGAATGATGTTAATGCCTAACTTCAACCAACCAAAGACATTGTGAGACCATCTTCCGATGTCAATGATAGGTAGCCGCTTCACATCCGATATGGTTCAAATTTAAGAGAAAATTCTGGAGTTCTAGTAAAATGCCGTGATTAGTAGAGCCAACCAGTGTCGGTTGTGAGGCAGCTACTCGTAGAAGACAATAGAGGATGGTTGCACGATGTAGTGGATTGGTTGAAGTCAGGCATTAAAATCATTTGATGCCGGATCAATGGTCTGGAGGTCAAGCGTTCACGTGCGATTACCCAAGCGGGACCGTAGATGAGCACTGCTAGGGAGTCTCATACTAGGACAGAAAGGCCGACCAGTGCTTCCAAGTTTTTAATGATGGTTTAACTTAGATCTGCGCATGATATTAATGAAATACGTACATATGTCCATAATGTTGATGAAAGGGAAGGGTAGTACGTTTGAAGAGCGAACTGACTGATGCAAATACAAACTCTTATTCATTGATTCACTTACTATATGTGTTATATATATAACTACAGACTTACAATACTGATTGATATACGAATAGGTTGAGGAAAAGTAAAGAGATGCTAATCAAAATGTGGTGTTAACTCACTAATTCGATAAATGTTGATCTAAACTCAAATCAGTAGATAGAAACATCGTCGATTGACTGGATGTATTTAGTAAAATGTTGAAAAGGTGTTCGCAACTAAATTTATCCACAATATTTCCGTATAAATTTTTAGTATCTTTCCTAACTTTTCAAACTTTGATTTCATTTGGGTTTTCTTATGCTTTCTTTTTAATTCGTTATAATATTATTCCCCTTCTTGTGATTCTCATTCTTTTAATTTTCCTTATCGACATGCTAATTTAAGATAGTTTTATTTATTTATTTATTTTAACACATAGATATTGGTACAAGAAGGCACCAAATACATATGCGTCACACAAATCTCGATCGGTATGTGTGAGGGCTCTGATACTGCCCGAGTGTCGAAAATCAAGCAGGTGGTCCTCTTAGGGGGCCACACTCAGAGCCTTCGACCTGAAGGCCTGATCCACAAGGCAGTGGAGCAAAAAAAGGAGATGCAGTCCCATGGTAGCCGGTGACCAATAATTGGTTTATACGCCATTTGTTTCCTCAGGATACTGGAGCCCATGTGCACCACTGGTTTGGAATCAGGGTTTTCCAACTCCCCCAGGTGGCTCTCCATGTCCACCAACCCGGTTACAGTTCCGAACATTCGCTTTTCATCCTCTCAATTTCACAAACAACACACTGGACGCGAGAAGGCAGTGAGTAGGACCTCCCTGGCGGAGGCTATATACGCATGGCCATGTAAGAGCATTTCGAGAGGGGGAGCGGACTCTCTCCACTCTCGGCCGTACCAAGGCATTTGAGGGCAATTTAAGATGTAAGAACTTGATTTTTAGCGAAATATATGCATTTATCATTGGACCAATTTCTGACTGACTTACTGTATCAGACAATTGCATATCGAAAGATATTTGCTGAATAAATATTACTGGTCCAAAGAAGGAATATATGTATATTGACACAGTTGTTTAAAAAAAACAAAATATTGAAAGTACGCTTAACTATGTGCTAACTGTCATGAGGAAAAGTTAATCTCTTTAATGGTATTTACACTTAAAGACAAACTCTTCAATTACTGAGTATGTAATGATTTTGAAACAGAATTCAGTAAGATTGAATATTATAGACTAAGTATTTATAGGATAAGAAATGTAGCGCCACACGACACAAGTTTGAGTGGTAAAAAATTAATATAAAGATGAGTTAATCAAAAATTGAAGAAACATGTTTTGAGTTTTTGCGTGAAATTCAATGACGGGTAAACCTCATCTGATATTACCTAAATGTTTTAACAAACAGAATCAAAACATAATACATATCTGAATATTCAGTCTATTACCAAGGTGACCTGCTTGAATATCTAAGCTACCTGTTCCTGCCATCTGGATATTTTAACAAGTTATCTATTTTCTTGTTTGTTCTAACACAATATCATGCTTATTAGTCTCATAACCCATTTCAATGCGTTTATGAAAAGTTTCTGACATTTCGCTGTACATGTTACAGAAGAGCCGAATCAGAGACATCGTCGTTGCTTGGCAATATACATTAGTCAGATATCTATTGTTGAACTGTTAACATCTAACTGGCGACCACTTGATACTGAGAATTCCATATTGTACTAAATATATAACACTGAATAAAGCCACTAATAATAATAATAAAAGAGAATTTTTATTCTACACCCTAATAGTTAGTGAATAACTATTCAATTTCTTTTTTTCTCTACAAGCAACATAATTAAAACTTATAATAAAAACATCTATAAAGCAATTTAATTTACGTATCAAAGTTAATATGAAGCTTCATTAACCATAAATATGAATAGATTAACGTAATGATCAGTAATAAGGTCGTCGTCGTCGTGAAGATTATTGATTTCTTTTTTTATTATTGAAATCATAAACCGATCAATATTAGACAATCATTGAAAACTTGAAACTGTACAAGACGATCATTTCATTTTTATGCTAATTTAACATTGATCAGTTCATGATCTTATACATTATTAGATTAGTTTATTATTTATTATTATAAGCTTTAGCCCTCCTATCCCGTACACACGAACAGATGCAGATGAAGACAGCCAGTGTAGCAGCAGTCTCTGCATCAGTAGGCCTCAGCATACACAAAGGGAAAACTAAGGTCCTCAAATTCAAAGCGGAGAACAGCAATCCAATCACACTTGATGGCGAAACTCTGGAAGATGTAGAATCCTTCACATACCTGGGAAGCATCATCGATGAACAAGGAGGCTCAGATGCAGACGTAAAGGCGAGGATCGGCAAAGCAAGGGTCGCATTCCTACAATTGAAGAACATATGGAACTCAAAACAACTTTCAACCAATATCAAAGTGAGAATCTTCAATACGAACGTCAAGGCAGTTCTACTGTATGGAGCTGAAACTTGGAGAACTACAACAACCACAATCAAGAAAGTACAAGTATTTATAAATAGCTGTCTTCGCAAGATACTCAACATCCATTGGCCGGATACCATCAGCAACAGCCTTCTGTGGGAGAGAACAAACCAACTTCCAGCTGAAGAAGAAATTAGGAAAAGACGATGGAAATGGATAGGACATACATTACGCAAATCGTCAAACTGCATCACGAGGCAGGCCCTAACTTGGAATCCTGAGGGGAAGCGAAAAAGAGGAAGGCCAAAAAACACATTGCGTCGGATAATAGAAGCAGATATGAAAACGATGAATTACAACTGGACGGAGCTAGAAAGGATTGCCCAGGACAGGGTTGGATGGAGAATGCTGGTGAGCGGCCTATGCTCCTTCACGAGGAGTAACAGGCGTAAGTAAGTAAGTATTATAAGCTTTATTCAATATTATATTTTTGGTACAGCATAGAATTCTCAGCACAAAATATTTCAACAAGTTTCCATTTCTTTCTTCTTGGTCGGTCCTGACGATAAATATTGAGTGATCGCTAGTTAGATGTTAACAGTCCAGTCAATGAACATCTGAATAATGTACATTCTATTCGTTGTATATTACCAGGAACCACATTATCTCTTATTGGACTTTTTGTAACTTTGACAACGAAAGGTTGTACACTTTTCAGAAATGCATCAGGATAGCTTATGCCATGAATAGACATAATGACATATATTAAAACAAACAAAAATAGATAACTTGTTGAAATATCTAGATGACAGGAATAGGTAGGTCAGATGCTGCTCAAGCATAGTCAAATTATTTTAGGACTGACTTTATGAAGTAGAAAGAAAACATTATTATTAAAACAAATATAAAAACTGATACTTGTAATTAAAATGTACCATTCATGTATTATTCAAGTATTGTAACCAAGGTCAATACCTAAGTGTAATTGCATGCAACACATTGTACACATAGTACAACAAAATACAAATCAATGTCAACAATAGAAAAGGGTGTAAACAATGAATGAACTAATAATAAGAAATTAATATTGTTTAAAATACAATCATTTTAACTCTATGATACATGTCAATACATACAATACATTGTTTAAAGGTGTATATAAATGAAAGAAAATGTATTTTACAATATTGAATGTGAAATATCTTTGTTTACCATGATCCAAAGATTTGACCACTTCACTTTTATGTATATAAAGTTGTATATTACAAAACTGTTTCTATTATACTCCATATTGAGTGGCACAATCATTATTCACATGAAGTTCTTCTTCTCATTATATTCATAATTATTCCGAACTAATTTTGACTATGATATAATCAGCATGAAGGATTGGTGAAGAGTTTAGTATTTTTTTTACAAATGAAATCATCATCTCGTCTTAGCTAGGAAACCACTGAAGATCTGCAAGCACAGGACGACAGTGTCGTCCTAGTATAGGACTCAATAGCAGAGGGAATTCGAGATCTCTAATTTCCTATGAGTCTCATTCCAAGATGAAACGGCGGTCTAGTGCTACCAGATTTTAACTGCAAAAATATAACATATTATGTTCAAAGGAATTCGGTATTATTTTTACTACAGTGATTGTATAGCTTTGAAAATAAACTGAATAGCTTGATTTATTTCCAATATCTCAAATAATCAGTTAAACTTTTATCATCAAATCTATCACCAATAGCCTACACATGCACTGGTACGGTCGAGGGTGGGGAGAGACATCTCTCCCTCCCCAAATGCTCTCACATGGTCACACGTATACAGCCACTGCCACGGAAGTCATACTCACTACCTTCTCGTGATAGGGATGTTATTTACTAAATTAAGAGGATGAAAAGTGAATACCTGACACTTTAACCGGGCTGGTGGATAAAGCAGATACAAACAGCAGAGTTGGAAAGTCACAATTCCAAACTAATGGTGCATATGGGTTCCAGGACCCTGAGGGAACAAAAGGAGTATGAACCTATTGTTGGTCACCGACTACCACAGGACTGCATCTCCTGACGATGTTTTACTACGTTGTGGATTAGATCTCTAGGTCAAGGGTTCAAAATGTGGTCCCCTAAGGAAACTAATTGTTTCAATTTGGGCATCCGGAGAGCATTCCAGCCCTCACTTAAATCGAATGACGAAGTGTGCCGCATATGTATTTGGTGCCTCCACGTACCAATGTTTATATGTTTAACTGAATAAGTCACCAATGATAAGAGTATTCGGACATAATATATGTTTATATATTCTTTTAAATAGTTCAGTAAATAAATTGTGTACATATAAACAATGTACATTGTGACATGTAAGGATAATTTGTGATTATGTAATTGTGAGAACAGTAGATAAAACCAACAATTGATTGACAGAGTATTTTATTCATGATTTACTACAGAATGTTTAACTTATATGTTTACTTAAATAGTATTGTTTTCTTTTTTTCTTTTTCAATTAGGTTTCTTTCCATTTCTTCCAGAAAACATGGTTCATTCGATTGTAAACTAATCACGTCTAAATGGTGTCATTTATAAATTTGTTGTATTATTTAAAGGTCATGGAAAGGTTTTGGAAGATAGTGATGTATAATCAATAGAACAAGATCATACATGTGAATATAATGTGTAACAAATATGTTGTGAGATAATAATAATAATAATAATACAGTACTGGCAGAAATAATCATAAAATAGTGTGAGCATGATATCCGTTAAGAATGATCCATGAGGAATTAAGAGTATGAGTGTGTGTGGCAAGATAGAAATATGGAAAAAGGAGATTAGGAGGTAAAAGTTCATATGTATGGAGTGAATCGATCATCGATTAAAGTAACACAATTAAGCTAAACACTTCACTTCTACCTGAAGTTTGTGTATTTATTATTTATTTATTTATTTGAACACATACATATTGGTACAAGTGTGCGCCAAACATATATGTGCCACACAAAACAATGAGAATTTAAAGAGAAGGAAAAAGAAATAAAAGTACGGAGATTAAAAAGAAAAGAACAATAAGGAAGAGATTGGTGTAAGGAAGTGTAATAATATTAGTGGTAATAATAGGGGAACGGAAAGGTACAATTAGAAATAACCCCTCACTTAAGGAAGATACAACCACTTTTTTTATGAAGAAAGTAAAAGAAGGTTATAGCAGGATCCCCACTGCCTTCTATTCTCAGCCATATCTGATAACGTCTCTAGCCACTGTGTTGCACCATCTCTCGGACATCAGCCAGGAAGTCGTGAAGAACCAACACAAGCCAGTCCTTTACAGCTTTCTTTCATACTCGGAGAGGCCACGTTTCACAAGCATAGAACAGAACTGCTCTCACCGACGCGTTGGAGATCCGACCATTTACAGCTTGGTTTGCATAAGCCGCTCTGGCTTTCACTATACGTGCATTGATCTCATCACTCACGCCACCACCAGCACTTATGCAGCTACCTAGATTGGACCTTAAGGTTGAAAGCTCGGGAATCGACCCTCTTAGGAAATCAACTGCTTCGATTTGGTCACTCGAGAAGTATCCTACCCCATAGACTAATTCAATATTAATGTGGCCCATATACATTTTCTTGCTCCTTTGTACTAATGTTTGTGTTTAAATAAACGTGCAAATGGTAAATACTGCATATAACAGTTCTTAATTTGATGATATACTTCATGGCCAATACATATAAATGTATATATATATAGCGAGAAAAAAGATCCAGAAACGATAGAAGCTTACCTATATCGTAGATTATTCGACTGTGTACGTAATTCATCAATAGTTTTCATCGTACTTTGTATTTCGTTTTTCACATTATCAATCCGTTCATTATACGAATCCAGTGACGAACAGATCACGTCCTATTTATTGTAAATATAAAAAAAATACTAAGATAAATACATGAACAATAAATAAATCAGAGAATGTGCATAGAATGTACGTTTAAGATGAAATAGCTGAATTAATAGGATGTCCATGTAATAATACGTCAGTCAAATGTATCGCAAAATGCTATTATTATTAATGGCTTTATTCAATATTATATTTTCGGTACAATATAAAAATCTCAGCCCCCAAATGCCCTGTTACAATCGAGGGTGGGGAGAGACAGCTCTCCCTCCCGAAATTCTCTCAAACGGCCACACGTATACAGCGACTATCATAGAAGTCTTACTCACTGCCTTCTCGTGGCAGGAGTGTTGTTTACAAAATTGAGAGGACGAAAAGCGAATGTTTGACGTTTTAACCAGTATGGTGGACACGTAGAGTCGCCTAAAGGAGTTGGAAAACCCTGATTCCAAACAAATGGTCAACATGAGTTCCAGGATCCTGAGGGAACAAATAACATATCAATCTATTGTTGGTCACCGACTGCCACGAGATTGTATCTCATAATTTTGCTCTACTGTCATGTGAATTGAACCTCTAGGTGAAATGCCCATTTATGAAAACTACTTGCTTCGGTTCGTGAGAACGGGCAGTATTCCATCCCTCACATAAATCGAATGATACAGTGTGGCTCATGAATATTTGGTGTCTCTTCGTACCAATGATTTTGTGGTGAAACAAATAAATAAAGTATTTGAAATTTATTTTACGAAACAAAGAAGAAAGGAAAACCGATAACTCCATACAAATAAACATTAATTAAGCAAACACAATAACTGGAAGTAAATGAAATGTCTTTTTATAAAAGAAGATTTGGATCTGTACAACTGTTTAAGTAGAAGCATGTTTAAGAATACAAGCTATTGGCTAAGTTAGCTCCAACAACCTGTTCGTCAAGACTATATTTGCCAAATAAGGTATTGTAAAGCTTTTGTACTTTTCATTGTGTGCATGGATTCTAATGTATTGACGTCTTGTTCTGATAGAAGATATACAAGGAGACGTGAATGAAGTGTATAGTTAGTATCTGATATGATGACACGCACCAACAGTTTGCAACACTTTAAATGTCTATCCCCAACTATATTTATAATGACCTTACAAGATTCACCACACATCCTTCAGCACTCTCTGCAATACATCACAGTCCCTCCACAAAAACCCGGGACAGAATGATGGAGACACTAAAGGATAATACGTAATATGCAAGAATTAACAAATCGTAAAATTAAATGTCGAGTAACACCAAATGCATGCATATATGTGGTTCTGTCCAGGTCTCCGTACAACATAAGCATAATGAGAAGGGAATCGTCAAGTCGAATTTCAGAGTAGTAGACGTAATAGCAGCATAAGTAGAGAGAGAATTATGTGTGAGAAGCAAAACAGTTGTAAGTCGGTATAATAGGTCCACAGTTATCTTAGATTTCTCGATAAACTATTAAATATTTTATCCTAAGCACTAAAAAGCAGTCATTAGCTTCGTAGTCATCTTCATTATATATTTTGTTGGTCCTTCACGACTCCCTGGTTGGGGTCCGAGAGATGGTGCAACACAGTGGCTAGAGACGTTATCAGATATGGCTCAGAATAGAAGCCAGTGGCGATCCTGCTGTAACCTTGTTTTACTTTCTTCATAAAGTGGTTGTGTTGAAAGATTTCTTCTGATTGTACCTCTTCGTCATTACTCTCTTTTTCTTTTGCTTTTTTTTTTTCTTTCTACTTCTCTTCGAATTCCCATTGTTTTGTGTGGCGCATATATATTGGCGCTCTCTTGTACCAATATTTATGTGTTCAAATAAATAAATAAATAAATAAATAATATCATTATATATTTGAGTAGTAAACTTCAATGGTCGTTGCAATGTAAACTTTTGACTTGTAACCATTCAGTGAAAAAAAATTAATGAGTTGGACCTAGTGCTATTCAGTACTCAAAATATATTTATCACTTCACCTATTGGGAAGTGTTATGTGACTTTTATTGATTTAATTAAGTTTAATTGAATACGCTTGCATAACTCAGTAACGTTGAATTGTTCATTACACTGCTTAGTGAGAAGTAATTTTTTTATCTACCTGTGTATAGCTGTCAGTGCTGGACTTTTCTCTAGTTCCTGGTTATTCTATAGATCTGGTGACTGACTTCTTGTGGTATTGTGCAACATCGTGATTTCTTGTGTAAATAGCTTTATAGTTGTGAACTTTACATGCGTATCACATTTGTTTACGGATTACTTTCTACACCTGTTCAGCTCACATAAGTAAACTTTTTTATCCTAAATTTAAAAAAATGTGGAAAACTATTGTCTTTAATATTAAAACTATAAAGTTAATCTTAGATTCTTTTTTGTGATAGTGAAGTGATAGGCTTAACAGTTAAAACAAGACTTTCAACAAGTAAGTCACCAGGCTCTCACTGCCTCGTCTAGTTTGCTCTGAGTAGTCTGAGAGTACCACTAATCCTCACTCAAGTTAAGCTTTGATCAAAAGGTTAGTACATAAATTGTGTACTTAAAAAATCGGTCACATTAATTTTTCATCCCCATTTACTTTCAGTTACATTTTGTCAATAACATTTTGTGTGGCTTTAAAATGTGCAGCTAGTCAATCAGTCATAAACAGCATAGAACCTAGCACATATGTGCATCGTTCCGCGTTACCACAACATACAAGCTCAGTTAGATAAAATTTTCAAACCAAAAATAATTGAAAACTGAAAATCTGAGGGAAAACAAAGAGTAACGGTACCTGTACGAATTCGATTGATTCTGAGCCATGTCACCTAAGATTTACAACCATTGGTTATAATCATTGCGCGGACCCTAACCAAATGGCTTGGACCTACCTACCTGGTTCATTTAAACATTGTAGGAATTCTTGGACTGACTTGGTGTTTTGGTTTTGTAGCTCCGAGATTTCTTCCAACCTGTTTCTACACTAGCCAAAGACTTACGTCTAGGTAGGCGGTGTTTGGGGATACTAAATGTATGCGTCAACTCCCTCAGTTGATGAAGATTTGCTCTCATCAATCGACTTATCTTCTTTAAATCGTACAGTCCATTTAACCTGAACCTTGCTCACTCAGTGTACCCGACATATAAGAGGAATATTTTTAAGACACCTATTATGGAATCTTAATAATCTACGAATATTTTCTATTTATGGAAGTAATAATTCATACCCATAAAGAAGAACAAAGTGTACTAGTGTGTAAACTCGTCTTTTGGTCGATAGAAGGGTATAAGATGCAACATGTCATTTTTTAGTATGGCATAAGACATTTTGTACAAACGAGGTAGAAATATCATGCTGTATGAATAATTCGTAATAAGCTACAAAAACATCATTGTTGGCCTTTAAAACAAGTGACTACTTATAGTAATATACTATAACATCATTTCATTTTAGCTAAATTATTCAGTGTACCGTTTGGTCAGTAAATAGTATCCAACGTGACTGGGTGTAGACTGAAATGAATTAGATTTAAATCGTATGGAAAAATAACCAATACATACTTTATTAAAATATTTATCATTAGAATCGACTACATAGTGTCGGATCAGTTGATTTTGTCAATGTTAATGTCATTCTCATTCAATTAATTTAGTGTATTGGTTGATACTTATTGAATCATTATTCGAATTCTCAAAGTATACTAGTCCGTCCAGGTCATAAAAAATCACTTTACATAAACCAGTCATATCTTTCAAAGTAAATACTCTTTATTTATAGAAGTATACTTGTCTGATCTCTGTTTGTATTAATTGCCCCCAAATGCCCTGGGACGGTACGGCCGAGAGTGTGGAGAGTCCGCTCTCCCTCTTGAAATGCTCTCAAATGACCACGCGTATATAGCCTCTGCCAGGGAAGTCCTACTCACTGCCTTCTCGTGGCCACAGTGTTGTTTACGAAAATGAGAGGACGAAAAGCGAATGTCCGGCACTTTAACCGGATCCCAAATCAATGGTGCACATGGGCTCCAGTATCCTGAGGGAACAAATGGCGTATGAACCAATCGTTGGTCACCGGCTACCATGGGATTGCATCTCCTTACGATGCTCCACTGCCTCATGGATCAGACTTTCAGGTCGAAGGCTCGGGGAGTGGCCCCCTAAGAGAACCACCTGCTTCGGTTTGGGCACCCGGGCAGTATCACAGCCCTCACACATTAAATGAGATTTGTGTGGCGCATATGTCTTTGGTGCCTCCTTGTACCAATATTTATGTGTTAAAACAAATAAAATTGTATTAATTAAAAAGTTCTATTATCTACATTTATAGACTGTAACCATATTTCCATTACATTCTACGTCTGATTATATTACTGAAGTCACAACAACCTCATTGGAATTATTAATTGCCTATAATTGTGGATTATGGTACCAAATGCAACTCGAACACACCAAAGCTTATTGATTTAAGTAACGTTCCATTACTTTTCTTTGTATATATATATATATATATATATATATAGAGAGAGAGAGAGAGAGAGAGAGAGAGAGTAGCGTCAATGAAGCAACATATAAACGAGGATATTAGAACAAAACTTACTTTAAACTGATCAATAGTAACAAACTGATGAAAATATGGAAGAATATCCTCTAATTTCAATAGAGGACAATCTCGTAATAAATTGATAGCTTCTTGCATACTTCCATCAGTACTAATAATATGTTGTGCTGAAAGTGAGAAGAATAATAACGATATCTCAGATGAACAAACAAAGGAGCAGAATATTCGTTGTAGAATTAGTCTATTAGAAAAATCAATAACTTATCCATATACACATGCTAAAACAATGGTACACTGTTTAGTAAAACATTTAGCTATGACGAAACGATGAAGTATTGAGAATATCTTTAGATTGACATTAAAAAGTAGAACTGACTGTAAGATTATGATTAATAGCGAAGACAAAACTGGGTATATACTGTATAAATGAGTTTACATCGATTTATCATGTATTACAGATTTATTATAACACTGGTAATACTTTAGTGATCGAAGAACTTATGTGGGGACAACCAATTTATTGATTAATGCCATTTTACGGAGTGTCTTCGTGAAAAAATGGAAACTAAACATTAACTGACCAGAGATGAATGATAACTAGGAGTGAAATCTACGACGTGCGTTTCGTCCTATTTGAGACTCGGACCTAGTACCGTTCGCTTCAAACGCCATCGCGTTATTCCTTTAGCTACTGAGCCCAGATAACCATTAGCTTGTATAATGGGGTGAAGTTTTAATTCATTTTTGTATTGCCTGTTTGAATCTTCCTATTACATTATTTGCACATGTCCCATCATTTGTCTTTCACAAACTTTATCGTTCCTTCATTCCTGTTGTGATTTTGATTACTTTTTGTTTTTTTCTGTCATTTCTTCATTGCAATCTTTTGCTCACAGGCCTTCTACCATCGATCGGAGCTACATCCTACTTATATCTGTCAACATAAGTAGTACACACTACAATATTATTTATTGTTCAATACCAAAGCATCAACTCACAGCTCAAAACACAAATTATACTATGTGGCAACATGGTTGATGACAGATGTATATTATAAGAAAAAAAAATTTTAAAATTAATATTGTTGAAAAGTAGTATTGTTGTAAGTGGATACTTCCTAAGATTAGTGATCGAATTACAAAGTCTCAATTGAATACCATTTCTATATTTTTATGTTCTTATGCCCATTAATTATCATGTGATAAAATCTCCAATTAGAACACCGATTTATTGACCAGATCAATGACGTATAAACAAATACGAGCAGCCTAGAGTCAACTCTGAGGTCCTGATTGGTCCCCTGAGATAATAGCCAGTTCGGTTCAGAACACTAATATTAGCCTCTGTTATATAAATCCTGTATTTTAGATGTACTTGGTTTATATACACACAAACCAGACTGCATCATGCCATAAAATATAAAATAACAATTATGCTAGATGAGGCCAAAAGTGTCTGTGATTATGAGAGACTGTAACTAATAAATCGAGAGTAACTTAAGAATAGTAAATAGTATAGTAGTAGTCAGTAAGTCAAATGAAAGTTTATAATGGAATATAAATATACATATAATACAGTTACTTAATCTGGTTAGCGTTTTTTAACCAGTTCTACTGTATGGGGCGGAAACCTGGAGAACTACGAAAGCCATCATCCACAAGATACAGGTGTTTATATTAACAGTTGTCTACGCAAAATACTTCAGATTCGTTGGCCGGACACTATGAGCAACAACCAACTGTGGGAAAGAACAAACCAGATTCCAGCGGAGGAAGAAATTAGGAAGAAGCGCTGGAAGTGGACAAGACACACATTGAAGAAAGCACCCAACTGCGTCACAAGACAAGCCCTCACATGGAATCCTCAAGGCCAAAGGAAAAGAGGAAGACCAAAGAACACATTACGCCGAGATATGGAGATAGACATGAGAAAAATGAACAAGAATTGGATGGAACTAGAAAAGAAGGCTCAGGACAGAGTGGGTTGGAGAATGCCGGTCAGCGGCCTATGCTCCATTAGGAGTTACAGGCGTAAGTAAGTAAGTAGTTACTCAATCGTTATACAATAAGAATATATATAATAATAGTCCATAAATTGATCCTAGCAGTTACTATTTACTTATTCTTCATCCGGATGTAACATATATCGCACAGATAATTGAGAAAACTTACCGCAGAATCACTTAATCAAGTATCTCTTTTACAAATGTTCCCGTGAAAAATGGCACTTATGCTCTCGTCATATATGCTACTAATTTTAGCAATCATAATGAGTCTATCTATAATGTTGCAATTCATTATTCATTTAATGACAAAAAATCGAAAACCGAATATTCTAGTCCAAAAATGTCTAGCTAAGACCAATACAATAATTTCAACAAAACCCCTTCAACTAAACTACAACAATCAGCTCACTAACAACTTATATGATGATTATCTCAAGGTTCCAGTAGAAAATCGTAACTGGTGCAGTTCAGATACTTAGGGAGTAAAACAGTTTTCGTTAGTGTCAGTAAGTGATCAAAACGCTGAATAATAAATTGATTGAATTTATGAATTTACCACTGGACGGTGATACAGACATTCTAGTTGTAAAGTGTTGATCCAGAGACTTGAATATTGGGGATCGCATTACAAGTGAGGTCACGAGTTTGTACAATTTAGGAGAAATAGATGTGCAGCCTAACTGAGCTTCATTTGTGATAAATATCATACACATATCAGACTTGATCTACTAAAATAGACTTAATGTAATTCACAAACTTCTCAATTATCATTAAGTGTAGTGTACTACCAGTTATTTGTCAGTTACTTTTAACAAATCTGTGTTCACATATTTAATAATATCGGGATGCGCTACATTAAAAGACAGACAGTTTCAGATAACTTCAACCATTTGAAATAAATTCGTTAGTAAAAATGACAATTTAGTACACAGCACTTACCCACTAAATGAACGAGAAAAAAAAAATCTCAACATGCCTAGATACGATACATTTAATGAACAAACAAAACATTGTAAGAAATCTCAACTTAAACAGTAACCAAGATGATGCATCATACAACATATCGCATTGCTTACCTAATTGAATCCATAATTGACGACGTACATTAGAATTCAAAAATTCACTTTGAGCAATTTCTTTAGCGAATGGAATATTATTCTAACAAGAAATTTCAAAAAATTATGAAAAAATGGTGATTATTTTATTTTATTTATTTATTTAAACATATAAAAACTGGTAAAAGAAGGTATCAAATATCCATGCACCACACTTCATCATACAATTTGTGTGAGGGCTGGAATATTCCCCGACTGCTTAAACTGAAGCAAGTGGTTTTCATAGATGGGTCACTCGCCGAGCACTTCACCTAGAGGTTCAATTCATAAGACAGTAGAGCAAAGTTAGGAGATGCGGTCCCATTTTAGTCGGTGACCAACAATAGGTTGATAAGTTACTTGCTCCCTCAGGATCGTAGAGCCCATGTGGACCATTGGTTTTGGATTGTGATTTTCCTGCTCTTGTAGTTAGATCCTCATATACACTAGCCTGGTTAAAGAGTCAGACATTCGCTTTTTATCCTCTCCATTCCACAAACAATGTCATTTGCACTTCTTCTCTGAGTTATGTCCTTCAAACTACATTGTTCCTTCATTTCTACTGTTATTTTAATTGCTTCCAGTTTTTTCCTCTATTTTCTTTTCATTTACATAATCTGTCAGTAAGAATCTCATTTCCCATACCTGACACACTACTTATATCTGACCATGTTAGTAGCATGCATCACAATAGTAATACCGTAATGAATGAGAACTCAGATGAATTCAATGGAAAATTACAGAACATCTAGGTAAAATATGGGAACTATACATTAAATACTTCATTTGAAAATCTTCCATCAAATATGCTTTACATTCTGCATGATTCTTCAAACTCACAATTCCTTTCTATTTCCCATTCTGTTTTCATCAATCCGATCTTGTTAGCCCTTTGATTCCAGGCAATCCTCTTCTGATAGATGTTACATACTGCCTATGTCCATCAACACAAGTAGCATCAACCATAATGTTAGTAATAGATTAATTGTATTACCAAATGTTAATTTTAACAAATTTTATAATAATGAAAATTAGTATAATAATAATTTTATAAAACCGTACCAATTCAATGGCTAATTGTAAAGCTTCCTGATGCATATCCAATAATTGTAGTATATAAAGTACACCTTTTAAATGATCAACTTCTTTGCATAAACGAAGCACATAACCAGGATCATAGGGTAACACTATGCAGAAAAAAAGTCAAAATGAACTCGATAAATAAGTAAAAATACTACCCAACTTTAGAGATTAACTGCAAACCATCTAATTCTTTAATATAGAACACATAATTCTGAATCATTCAAGCAAGTGGCATAAATAGGATCTTTGCCAATAAAATTCGATCACGACTAAGAAGAACCAGACGAATAAAATATGAAATTGTTTATGACAGTGATTAGTCAGTTGTAAGTAGCTCGGTCCAACAAGTTCATTGGGAATCGAATAGCTCATTGAACGGCATGTCAAACTATGAAGCTGCGTCGTTAGGATTGAACTATACGAGGGGCATTATTTACCGGACGAGTACACGTAAGCCCCATCGAAAAATACAAGACAGCACAAAATCCAGAAGGGTTCCGAGTCGACTATTTCCAACTACCTGGTAGAAAAATTTAATTTGTAATCCATAAGTTTCCTCCTAAATAATTAAGTTTAAAATAAACAAGTACCTAGATGAATTAACCTTATTCATTTTTTGTAAATTTTTTAAAGAATGTATTTGTTATAATGTTGTTGTCCATGTTCTCATGTATGCATTCCATAAAATGCTAGTTGAATAACTTCAAGGTCGAGTATTATAAGCAGAGATGGATGATGGATAGCAGTGGAATTCACGACGCCCGTTTCAGCCTATTTTGAACTGGTCAATTGGTTATTAATGTTTACTCTGAGACTCGAACCTAGTACCGTTCGCTACAAACACTATCACGTTATCCACTTAGCTACTGAGTTTAGATAACCACTAGCTTATACAATCGAGTGAAGTTTTAATTCGTTTTTGTATTGTTTGTTTAACTCTTCTTAATGATGTTTCCGATTGCAACTGATCAGTCTTTTATTCAAACAACCAATACAAAAATGAATTCAAAGTCAAATGTTTTTTAAGCTTCCTCGAGAAGAGTCATCAACAGTGTCCACTATTATGAACATCAACGTGTAGATAATCAAAAAATTTTATTTATTTATTTATTTAAACACAGAAACATTGGTACAAGGAGGCAGCAAATAGATATACGCCACATAAAACATTGGATTTATGTAAGGGTTAGGATACTGCCCGAGTGTCCAAAACGAAGCAGGTGGTTTTCTTAGGGAGCCACACCTCGAGCATTAGACCTAAAGGTCTGATCCACAAGGCAGTGGAGCATCGTAAGGAGATGCAGTCCCATAGTAGCCGGTGACGAACAATAGGTTTATACGCCATTTGTTCCTTTAGGATACTGGAGCCCATGTGCATAATTGGTTTGGAATCAGGGTTTTTCAACTCCCCTAGACGGACTCTCTGTATCCACCAAGAAACATATCACACAAAATGTATTAACTTACATGACTGGATATCTTGTTCTTGATGTTGATTTGTTAAACATTTTAGTTTATTCATTACATTACCGGTAGAACAATCATTCACTGTATCATTATCATGTTCTAGCAATGATAATTCAGTTAGATCCATATTCATTAATTGATAATCATTGAATAAATCTCCATTATCGACAATATTTTGTTGATGTTGTTGTTTTAAACGTCTTATATGAATGGCTTGGATACTAAATTTTTCTAAATATTTCATTAATCTATCATCATTATGATTTAAATGATATTCATTAGCATACAATGAAATAAGCATATGATGTACAGCTTGATTTGATATATTTTTATTGGTATATATTCCAATAGTATCTTCTAAGTAATTTATTGCATAATTATTTGGTAACAACATAATTGAAGGTAGAAGTCTATTTATAAAGAAATAAGAAAGAAGGAGAAAGAAAAAGAAGAAACGAGACAAATAAGTTACAATTATGTAAAAATAAGATGAATGAGAATTGACCAAGAGAAGTAATAATAGAGTAACGGTTTTGGGCGATTACAGATTGAAGTTTGTTTATTTGTTTTCCAACCAATACGTTTTATATTCAAAATATTATACTTCAATGAATTCGCTTTTAAACAGCTAGTTAAAATGATTGACTGTTAAAATAACCTCTATAGATAAGTGGGAGCTAACTAACTGGTTAGGGTTTGTACTATAGTTGTGATCATCGATTGAAGAAGCTAGATGTTTTGACATGAGATATCCGAAATCTGATATTGGTACATAGTTTGCTATGTGCTAACCACCACCACCACCACCCCAATTGACTACTTGGAGAATTGACCCCAACAAAATGCACTTGACCTTTAGGTTATTTTTGACTTTTGGCTCTCTATAGCACTGATTGATATGACTCGAAATTGGGATTGAAACAATTTAAATGTAAACACTTTTCAACTTCATTTAGATTGTAAGTTTACAATTTTGTTTCATGACTTTCTGAGCATAAATAATGTGACATTTTGAACCAATACACATTTGTGTCAGATTCAAAGTTAATTATGACTAGCTAAATGACTTAACTTTCAACTAATATGTCTCAGTTTTATGACACCTTTAGTTACATCATGTCAAAAACTTTTAATAAGTAAGATATATTTTTAAAACAACAGGAAAAAAGAGAGGATAAAGAAATATTGGAACCGAGTTCGTCTGTTCATAATACTTAAGTTGTTGAGAAGTATGATCAATGGTCTTCTAATCCAGTATACAGTTAAACACTAATGAATTCAGATGTTTTGAAACAATCATCCATAGATTGAAGAAGATATTCAACTGAGTTCAATTGTTAACTATACTTTTAGTTAAAATGTTTAAATTGGTGATTTTATGTTTGGTATGTTTAAAGAAAAAATAAATGGCTTTATACTAGCCGTGAAAACCAGGATGTGAATTCGGTCTTATTTGAGACTAGTCACATGGATGTACCTACGCCTAAAGTATTATTATTTACATTAAAACTCCAACCTAGTACATTTTGCTACCGAATTCGGGTAATTAATCACTTATATAACAAGCATGGTGTTTATACTATTCTCAGCAAAAGTTCTTAATAAACACAAGGTATCTAGACGTTGAGCGTTCGCACGCGAGAACGAAGGTCTTGGATTTGAATCCCGCGAGCAGGACCATGGATACGCACTGCTGAGGAGTCACAAACCAGAACTCTCAACAGTGAATTAACAGATTACCACCAGAAAAGAAATTCCAATCACCATTCAGTAGAACTCTCTCAGGAACATCTAGAAACTAAAGAGTCACGAGACGCATTCCTCATTGGATGATTACCTAACTATACTGCTACCGTGCGTGGTAGGGTTCCAGAACTTTCCACAAGCAAAACCTCGTCTAAAAATGCTATAAACACCCAAGATTTTCTGTACATAAATTAACCTTAGAGTAAACAGTTCTCTCCATATTATTACGCGTCTTTTCTCTCGTGTTCAATTTGTCGTGTAGAACTAGCCTAGGGCTATTAAAAGCTTGCATCGTAAGGAGATGCAGTCCTCCCCTAGGTGGACTCTCCATGTCCACCAACCCGGTTAAAGCGCCGGACATTCGTCAATTTCGTAAACAACACTTGGACGCGAGAAGGCAGAGGCTATATACGCGTGGCCAACGTGAATCATATTACCAGATAGAGAACGGTGGCTTATAACATTCAAGCTGTTCGACTTTCAACTACTTATTTGTAAGTTTGAATCCCACTGAACCTACTTCAGTATGAGCAACCTCAAACTTAGAGTATACAGGCCAAGTAAATGAATTTGATATTTAGAACAAGCTATACCACATAATCAATGGTCGAAAATACTGAAAATTAAACTAATTTTACGTCAAAACGTACATTTTTTAAAAAAAGAATAGGAAAGTTTTGATTACTAACCGATTAATATCCAATTTATTGTTTAAACGAAGACATACATTGACAAATTCTTCTGGACATTTACTAGCTAAGCATGATGCATGATCATATAGTCGATTTAAACAGTTTGGATAGGTGGCTAATATTTTTAAGGCATCACTGTACATACATTGACGCATATAATGATCCACTAAACGAGGATAATCTAATTTTTCAAAATGAGATAAATGAGAGAAAAAAAGACAAAAGAAAGAAGTCTGAATAAGTGAACAAATATACAGTTAAACAATTGAAAACAATTACCGGCATTAACCGTACCAGTATGGTGAAATTTAATTCTATGTATTTTATAATAACGAGAAATAGTTCTAGGTAGTCATTGTCAATGTAAAGATATGAGATGCATTTGAATATACCTCACAGAAATACAAAAAGGGAGAAGATCCACTATAGGAAAAGAAAAGGTGAGGAATTAACTTCGACTGCACTAAAGATCTAAGTAGGCCCTTACCTTATTTTCAACCATCTACTTGTGACAACTAACATCAAAGGTCACGGTAATCGGTAGCTAATCATGACAAGTAGTTAAATACCTGAAGGTTTGTGAACATACTTTCCGCAAATAAGAATGATAATCAGAACCAAAACACTCGATAGTTAAATGATCCGATGTACATGTGTCCCTATGACTACAATGACTTAAAGGTGTACCGGGAAGATTGATATCACTTATACCGTCATAATCAACATAAAGGATTGGAATAATGTGTGTTGGATCAGGTTGTTATTTCACCTTAGTACAAGGAAATGAAATTAATAAGATGAAAGAGTTGAAGTAATCACGGTAGTGATATTGATTTAGAACAAACAACAGAAATATATTATGATGAGGTGGTAAGTAGGGAGGAATACTAAAAGTCAAGATCTAGGGGAAGACAAGTGAATTCATCTGCATTATTGTAACTGATTCTGAGCCATATCACTAAACGCTTTCAACCACTGATTGAAATAACCGTGTAGACCTCATCCAAGTAGTCTACATATACTTACACTGCTCAATCCCACAATGAAATACTTCGTGGGCTAATGCCATTGTCTCAATCTGACCGGTTCTAGCTTTCTTTTAACCTATTCCTACACCAGCTAACTTCGTGGTGGTTGGACAGACGCAACACATATCCCAACACCTCAAATAATGAGGATTCGCATCATAGAACGGTTTGCCAACTTTGTCTAGTGGCTTATGTCTTAACGTTAGCCTTTATTGCTTAACCATTCCATAACACTCAAGAAATACTTTAAAGACGGTTGTATATTTAATTAGTGTTTAGAAGACTCCACCACATCAACATCTTCACCAAATAGGACTGTATCATCCGTGTTATCTCAGTTGATCAGTATACGTCCTGGTAAGAAATCTATCCCTACAAAGTTAGGTGAAATTTCAATTTTCAGGAGGACATCTATGATGTAGTTATATAAAAACAGGGTGGTGGGCAACATTGATAGACACCACAAGAGGTTGGCAATTCATAAGCTCTGACTCGTACACTAATGTTTCAAGGACTAGTCTGTAGCGCTTAGTACTAAGTCAATCCCACATAGGTTATTCTAGATTCCGGATAGACGAGTTTATTCATTCATTCTTCTTTTTCTTCACATTTTGACCTTGTCAATTATTCGCTTATTAACCTTGACTGTTTTTATATGAGTGTATGTATGTGCATTGCTTATGATACCCATCACATGTGTGTAACTTACTTTTGTCTGACTATAAATACTGAATCTCACCTTAACAAAATGAGTTGGAATCTCTCTCCCTTTCGCTTTCTCCACCTAGTCTCTCTGATTGTCTGTCTGGAACAATGACCGTACAAAATACACGTATTCAAAATTCATTCTTGTATTTGACTTATTTTATTAAGTTATTCATTAACGCGACTCAGGTCGATAATTACATACAGGAATAACCAGGATGCATATTTTGGTAACATCATCATACGATGTAATTGGAGTCAGATTAAAAAGTCTCAAAAAGCCTACACATTATTTATGTTCTTTTTTTGGTACGCTTTCCAATGATAAACTACCACAAAACCTCTCGGTCAACAGAGTCGAATACCGCCCTATGGTAAGGAAATATTATGATATTTGCAAGCTTGTAATTATGATTATATTTTAGAACCTAACGAGCAGTAATTAGTTGATCGATACATCAACGTCCAAGTCTGAATTTATCCTGCTTTTCCCAAGTTCGCGGTTCACGAGCATTATTTAAGAGTTGGATGATTGTTGAATATCTTCTGATAGAACTTCATTTAAAATGCGTAATTATTATTATTTCTTAGTACAAATAAACTTAGAGTTAACCTTATCCATTAAAAGTAATATGCAATATTACATAGTGAACCTCAGTATGATTATTTTGTTTTATTACATTTAACAATACACCTCAAAAACGTCCAGAAAAAACTAAAAATCTAACAAATAACTAATAATCAGTTGATGATAATAAGTTTACATAAGAGTAATTATAGATAATGTAGCCCAATACTTGATTAGAAACCACGTAATTAAATTGAAACCGTTTTTATACGTCTAAGAATTAGGTTTACAGACCATTACACAAATGCTTTAGATAAGATTAAGATCAACAGTGATTTAGAGATTAAATTATTCAAATTCTAACTGAACACTGGCTTCGCCTACATCTATTGAACCAACTTGAAGATAATACTAGTAACAGTAACACAAAAACAGTGAGGTTGAAAATTGTTAGGGGACTCAAAAACCTCTTCGAAAAAAGACCAAAACGGCCTTGAAAATGCTAGGAAACATGTTATCCAATCACCATTCAGTAGAACTCTCTCAGGAACATCTAGAAACTAAAGAGTCACGAGACGCATTCCTCATTGGATGATTACCTAACTATACTGCTACCGTGCGTGGTAGGGTTCCAGAACTTTCCACAAGCAAAACCTCGTCTAAAAATGCTATAAACACCCAAGATTTTCTGTACATAAATTAACCTTAGAGTAAACAGTTCTCTCCATATTATTACGCGTCTTTTCTCTCGTGTTCAATTTGTCGTGTAGAACTAGCCTAGGGCTATTAAAAGAGCTTAGGAAATAGATAGATTCAAGTGTGCAGTTAGAAGATTTATCAAAAAATTTCAATTTCTTATTGTATTACTTAAATTATTCATTGAATATTGAATGATTTAATAAAACAGAACTATGGATGATAATGATTTACCTTTCATTAATTCCATAAAATAAACAAGTTCATCATTTTCCCCATGATTTTCCAGTAAATCGTATATCAAAGATTTTGCTTGTGGTAAAAAATTCTAATAGAGATGTATAGAAAATCATAGAAATACATTTATTTTCATATATCTATGACAAAACAAAATACAGTCATAATACTTAAAGTTTCCAAGTATAAAAGAAATGTACACTGAAACTGTTCTGAGGTTATTTATTTATTTAAACACATAAACATTGGTATAAAGAGGCATCAACTATACAGACACCACATAAATCATTCGATTTTTGTGAGCGCTGAGACACTACTCAAGTGAACAAATCAAAGCAGGTGCTTTTCTTAGAGGGCCACTAAAAGAGCTTTTCATTTAGAGGTCTAATCCATAAGGCAGTGGAGCAACGTTAGAAGATGCAGTCCCATAGTATTCGGTGATCAAGAATAGGTTGATATGTCATTTGTTCCGTTAGGATCGTGGAGCCTGTGTGCACCATTAGTTTGGAATTGTAGTTTTTCAACTCTCCTAGGTGGATCCTCTATATCCATCATCCTGGTTAGTCAGTTACAACGTAGGACCAGGCACATATATGCATCGATCCAAGTTTCCACATCTCATTAACACAAAAACATCAACACCAAATTCATAGAATTAGTTACTTCAATAATAGTAATATATAAAAGAAAGATTGTATATAAGGATATAATACAGCAATAAACAATTAGTTGGTAGAAAGAAAAGCTTAAAGTAATTTCAATCTCCCAGTTTAAGTGAAGACAGAGAGTGTATATACCTACACCACTGTGATCGATTTTGAGCCATTTCACTCAGAGCCTCCAACCATTGGATACGATAACCCATCCTCAACCATGCCAGGGAATTCGGGAGCCTCTGCGATAAGCATTCATAATTTCAGGTATTCGAATGAAAACTTTGCTTGATCTAGGTCTCGTACTAGTCAGTACTTGTCAACAGCAAAGTGTACCTACAATTTTTAGGGAACTAATGCTTTATACAGAGCTCAAAGCCGAGTTACATGGTTTCACAATCTGAGATGTTATCACTGACCAACTCGGGAGACCACAGTCCACTTGTGTAATTGAGATATTTACAAATGATTGATGTAATATGGGAATGATTATGGCATTAGCATAAAGAAAGGTGAATAAGGTTTTTTGAAACTTTAAAACAGCTTAGGTAAAGTTGGATACAATACCGAATTTTGAATACATATTGGAGGGCTTTTAAAAACACCTCAGAGTTCATTTGTTGGAGATTAGATTAGCGTGTTATTAGGAGAGGAGTGAGTATTTTTGTCGGTGTATTATTTATATTTATCACTCACGTTACAAAGCTATTATGTAACAGGAAGTATGGATAGACGATTATTCTAAAACTACTTGAGGTTTAATAATTAGAAGTTCGTTAAATAACATATGTAGTTACCGGTATAACACCCGAATAAGCTTTACTCACCGTAAATAACTAAGCTTATGAAAATTCTTCCTTGTGAATACAGATATGTTCCAGTAAAGTTCAATAGACACAAAACAGAAGATGATGATATAAGATAAATGTCAAAAATTAATTCTACCTTTATGACTAATATATCCACTGATACATAGAATCGTACAACTGATTTATAAGAATGAGCCATTGAAAAAATTTAAGCATACAACAACTTTGAAATGAAAACTATTGGATGATAACTGAATGGTCTAAATGTAACGACGTACACTCTCTGGGCAGCATCATAGATACATAACGATGAGAAATCTCATACTAGTTATAGATCAATGTCGAATGCTGTCTGATTTTCAATATCTAAAGATAATTAATTTATAACATAAACTATCTTTTCAAAATGAAGATTTAGAAAATAATTTGGCAATGATATATAACAGTTTATCAGTATAGGGTTGTGAAGATTATTAAGTTTTTGACTGAGATCATGAACCGATTCATGTTAGACCACCATTGAAAACCTGGAAGCACTGGACGGTTGTTTCGTCCTATTGTGGGACTCCTTACTAGTGCGTATCCATGATCTCGCTCGCGGGATTCGAGCGAGGTTTTCAATGGTGATCTAACATCAATCAGTTCGTGATCTCAATCATATAACAATTTAGATTATATCTCAAAGTATACTATTTACTTACCAATACTTCCGGTAATACTATGATTGTACGAAATTCACGTCGTACAGAAGCTAGACGATTTTGTAATGTTAATTTAACTTTATCATCACAATTATCATTATTGTTAACGGTAACATTTCCATCACTAATCATCTTGTTATTTTGATCATTATCATTAACTATTTCATCAAGATCATCATTATTATGATCCAATTTTGTTATCATTTTAAGACGATCACGTATCACACTCAATTCAGTTATTAATAATTCTATTAACCAAATTGCTAATAAAATTATTTGACCTGATAAATTTACTACTGATTGTTTATTGATATTACTTATTATTTGATTATTCTGTTCTATTAAATAATCTAATTTTGATGATAAAAATATTTTCAATGGTGTCAATGTACTACTATATGAATGGATTGATGTTATGAATGATTTACATTGTTTTATAGATGAATCAATTAGTCCTGTTAGTTTGTCATTGATTGGATATTGTTGTTTTGATTGAATAATTAATGCTTCCATAATATCATGATCATCATTAATTTCATAACCTTGTTGAATTAATGTAGATGGTATAATGGTTGATGAAAGATCTATTGTATGTGTTGTTGTTGTTGATGATGATGATGATGATAAACGAAAAAAACGTAATGCAATTTGTTCAAACGGTATAGAACTACGAGCAAATAATTTAGCTGCAAGTCCATAGCTATTATTGAGAAGAGAAAAAGAGATAAACGACTGAAAAATAACTGAAAACGATAAGTTTTTTCCTAAAAGTTTTACTTAATATGAACTATTGTCGACATGATTACATAGATAGATGCTTTCGAAGTATTGTTTATGTTATGATGGAATCATTGAGTTAGCAATGCTAAGGTTAGACTGAGGGTGATAAATAACTTAATGAGGTAGTGAATCTTCATCGATGGAGGTGGTTTCGACATAGATTACATATACTCAACCACTGGGTGTCTTGACTCGATATAGTAGTTTGTGATGACAGTGAGATCAGTTTGAGAAGTCTTTGACTATTGGACTAAGCAGCGTAGCTATATTCAAACTACATCACCAAATTCAGCACGATTACCCGACTGTTGCTGCTTCCTTTACGTGGTGGTCCTGCTTGCCTATCGTAATGAACCAACAGAGTTTTACTGGCTGGAACAATCGTTTCTCAAGGCCCTACCACGACAGACAGGTCGGTTCAAGAACGGTAAGACTAAAAGCAGCAAACCCAAGGTATGAGGACGAAGTCGTACTGCTGACTGTGCAGAAGTGTGACAGCAGTAAAGTGTTTCCTTCAGACAACCAGCATAACGGCGATGTTGTCGCCCCACAAGGAGGGGTGAGATTAGAAAAGAGCGACCCTAAAAATGCACACCTCGTCTTAATTCTATGGATCTCCGTCTGCAGCAGTAAAGGCCCAACAAGCACGGAGCTAGAACGAAAACTACCCACAAAAGGTCGTGTGTGACCAACCTCAAGCAGTTGTCCCTTGGGCACTGCGTTCACGCTCTCAGGTCACTAAGACCAACTCTAACCCAATTTCCTTTTCAGGTACCTCCAGAAGAACCCTTCTACAGTATGGGCATCCGGAAAGTGACAACGACCCTCATACTTTTAGCAGCACTCAAGACCACTGCATTCATAAACAATACCCCTCTGAGCTCTAGCTCAGAGAACAAAACTCCAACAAACTCATCCACCTGAGCTACAAATCTTCTCTACCTCAAGTGGTGTCCGTCTAGGCTGTCCAATATCTCTAATTTTGTCCAACTTCATCATAGACATACTGATGGAAACAACGTTCTCGTCAACTGAATTTTTTTATGAAGTGATCTCCTACCAGGAGGTCCACTTATGGACTTAGAATACGCAGATGATATAGTCCTGTTTGGTGAAAACGCTGATAAAATGCAGTCTTCTGGTACTCGTAAGTTACCAGTATTTGACCACAGATGCCTTAGAAATGTTGCTCGCATCTACCGGGATCACCGGGTAGGTAATAGTGAGGTTAGACGCAGGGTAATAAGGAACGACGGTAAATCAGTTGATGAGGTTATGGTTATTCACCGACTGAGATGGTTGGATCACTTGTTACGTATGTTTGAACACCGATTACCACGACGTACAATGCTGACTATTGTTGGGAATGGTTGCAAGAAAGTTAGGGGCGATCAAACCAAAACGTGACATCAGCCCTTGAAACCACGGTTATCGTATCCAATGGTTGGAGGCTCTGGGTGAAATGGCTCAAAATCGATCACAATGGCGTAGGTATATACACTCTCTGTCTTCACTTAAACTGGGAGATTGAAATTACTTTAAGCTTTTCTTTCTACCAACTAATTGTTTATTCCTGTATTATATCGTTATATACAATCTTTCTTTTATATATTACTATTATTGAAGTAACTAATTGTATGAATTTGGTGTTGATGTTTTTGTGTTAATGAGATGTGGAAACTTGGATCGATGCATATATGTGCCTGGTCCTACGTTGTAGCCGACTGACAGATTCAGCGCGATTAACAAAACTGATGGTAGAGACGTTGGGTGACCGGGATCAGAATCCATCCCAATAACTTGAATGCATCCACTCTTTCGTCATCCCCTTGATCTTCAGTTTTGAAATTATCTCATAATTTTTATTCCGCGAATTCATTCTTTGTTCTCAAATCATATTACATTTATCTAGTTTTTTCAACTGTCACTGATATTGTTATTAATTCTATTACGTTGGCATTTATCTCAACAACTGTGCTGATATGATCTGGCAACTTGGACAAGTGCACATATAAGAACTGAAGTTTTAGAATTAATACCACAGTATTTTTTTCCATTTTAGAATGTTATTGAACATTTTGCAAGGATGATTTAAATCAGTGAATTAAAAGCTAGAAGCACATAACTTTCAATCAATTGGGTTGGTAGATTGGAATCCCGCTTCTCCATCTATTTAGATTTAGACAGGTAGGTAATAGTTTCACTGCCACTCATATCTAAACATTATCTCAAAACCGACTAAATAAGCTTGTATTTTATGAGTTTTTTTCTTAAAACTATCATTTATTCGAATACTACAAGATACAATATTGGTTTAAAATTATGCAAAATTTTGTATGATGAACGGATATTAACCACTTTAAAATCATTTCCGTGGAAAACAATCTCATACTCTGTATGTTCATCGATTCAATTTTTGTCCAACTCTTGTTTAATTTTTTTCCAATCAGAAGACATAACATTATTAAGCGTAGAAAGTGAACGGAACTTTATAGCAATAAACTATATTCTATGCAATCGCATAGATGAGTGGTCATTACAAGCCTCCGATTACATATTAGAATATTCAAGTACGAAAACGTAGGTGTCAAGGATGGGAACTGTAAATAAACTCAACATAATGACAGTATATTAGGTATCCTGTTTTTTTTGTAATAATGTAGGAGACGACAGTTTCGAAAATCAATGAGAATAAATAATTGTTGAATGTGGGACAAAAAAATGAGTTTACAAGTAAAATTGTACTTACTTTTCATTATCAAAATTATATTCCGCTTCACGTATATTGATGGTATCCATTTGACCAGGATCCTTTTTTATGCGTGGAACAAGAAGAAATAAAAGACTGATTAATAAATACGATCAAGATGATAAGATAACAACAATGAGGTAATATTACCTATTCCAATTAAATAGGATAAAACTGCAAATTATAAGGAATAAGATGATGGTTGGAGGTAGCTGTCAGGAGACCCTAGACTTAGATTTCGTCCTATATTGTACTCACCAACAAGGTGTACATGTAGTCTTGGGGGAACTAGTGCTACTTCATGCATTCGGTCTTATGTCACCCAGCTTCACTGTCAGAGATGTAAACACTAAGGTATCCGGGCCACGACTTACCGCCTGTAGGACTAAAATGTATTTACGATTGATCAGTCACTCGGTAGTGACCAATGTCATTTATTACAAGTCCTTCTAAATTATGAAGACGGTCCAAGGGTGAACCCAAAGAGGCTCAGGAAGAGCCCAAGACATTCCATCCAATCATCTTTTGGAAGAACATTCTACAGTCTCGACATGTAGCTCTCCTAATAGGCAAATGCTAAAACCCACTGTATGCGGATTGAATGGCTCTAATGACGATTTCGTTTTTACTAAAAACTATAAATACCTGAGAGTTTTGTACTATACTTGACACTGTTTGGAATAACATTCCTCCTCATTCGTCTTCTGTTTTCTCATTTGAGACTTGGAGGGTTCTGACGTTCGAGTGCTCAAGTACTACGAGGTATATGAACAATCTAAACTCTAAAGATAACAAAGTTTTGATTGAATTCCATTGATCAAGTCACTAAGAGGGATGAGACAGAACTGATTTGCAACATTGACTGAGATTTAATAGTTGTTCTATCTGATGAAAAAAAGATGAGATGAGATATCCTCGTTTAGTCAACACACTCGAAATCTAACTCGTATATAAAATAATAAGTTATTGATGATTTCCGTGCTTAGTTTCGAATATTAAAACAGATGTAGATTGACCAAACATATCATGATTGTTCTTGTTGTCACTTAACACAAAACTCAACTTATTTTCCAGGTAGAAGTTTGTTTTCTTGACTTTGAGATAATCTAAGTATGAGGGCTAGTGACGCTACACGGTTGGCCAAGTAGAAGGAGGTAGGACGATGTTCGAATATGAGAATAAATGGTGTAATGTCGAACTACTGCTCAGATGGCGCACAAACGTTAGATAGTAAAATGTCCATAATTTAAGGGTATTAGACACTCATATCGTTTCTAGCAGGATAAAAATGCCGTTTAGACTTGGGAAAAGCTGAATTAATGTTCAGTTTTCCTGAACCAGTAGAATATTCTTTTCATAATGACCATACTATCATCAGTGACCACACTAGTTTAGTTAAACTCTATTTCCGTATATCACTTAAAAACACAGGTTTTAATCTATGACAGATTTATTTTATTATCTGCAGATAACGCAAGTTTATTGACTAACAAACATGGAACCTAGACGAAATAAAATATCTCATCAGTTGACTTTCTTACGACAGTGACTCATGGGATCAGAACACCTTAAAGTGTCGACATTTGATAATAAGGCAAACAGTTTAGCAGATAGACTGATGAGATGATAGATTTTTAACATACTTCATCTATTTACAAGTCGTTCCCGACTAAAGACCTTTTTTGTTAGGGAAAACTGAAACATGTTTAGAACAGAATGTTATACGGACTACAACACATGAATATTACTCACACTCTTATTATTTAACTTTCTTACAAGGTTCTTTTCTACGGGATGGAATTGTTAACCACATGCTCGACCCTTCTCATTATCCGGGCCTCGAACTGGCAGTAAACCTAAAAGTGCCGCATGCGGGGAGAGGGTAGCATTCCTGCAATTAAAGAACATATGGAACTCAAAACAACTGTCGGCCAACACCAAATTCGGGAGTTTCAATACGAACGTCAAAAAAAGTTAGTTCCATTCTACAGAGTTGAAACTTGAAGAACCATTACAACCATCATCAAAAATTTACAGGTACTTATAAACAATGGTTTACGTAAGATATTCCGAATCCGTTGGCCGGACACCATCAACGACAACCTACTGTAGTAAAGAACAAACCAACTTACATCTGAAGAGGAAATTAGGAGAACACACTGGAGGTGGATAGGATATACATTTCAGAAAACATCAGAAAACACACATTGCATTACGAGACAAGCTCTAACTCAGAATCCTGGAGGCGAAAGGAAGAGAGGCAAACAAAGAACATATCGCGCCGAGTATTGGAGGCAGATAACAAACGAATGAATATCACTTGGGAATAACATGAAAAGTGAGCCCAGGATAGAGCTAGTTGGGGAATAGTGGGCAGTGGCCTATGACGTGACATACCTGACAAAATTGGCGCGCTTCATCAAACTGTAGACGATCCAAATAGATTTGCCATATTCTACATAATTCATTCTTCATATTCAATCGAGCCAAATGATTATTGCTGAATATCCAAATATGATTAGATAATGAGTCACGCGATATACCTAAAGCCCGTTCACAGCCAATGATATTATTTAACGGCATTGAATAAACTGCTCGACCATCTAAAGTATTCACAGCTTTAATGCGATCCACATAGATAATGATAAGATGAAATTCTGTCAAACAAATGCCTAATGGTACACCAGGTCGTTCAAGCATATGAATAATTGGATACGGGATAAGTTTTGTATTTCGCGTTAAATTAACACCACGACCAGAGAATATATCTTTCGGTCGATTCGGATCATCTGTATTATCAGTGGCAGTAGGTAGAAGGGAAACAACTTCATTTGGAAATGATTTTACATCAATTGGTTGATCATTTGTTGAAAGTTTTGTAAATGGAGGCATACTTAATTGTTCTGTTCTTATGTAACCGAAGTAAACACCTGGACCTGGAATTTTACAATCAAGAATAAAGAGATTTTAAAACGGAATGTGTTATTGTAGTCAAAAATAACATAAACGTATTTATCATATACATAGCAATATTATCAGCTTTGAGTTACATCATTTGCGTACATCATAGTAGTGTGGTGTATGCTACTAATGTCGAGAGATATAAGTAGTATGTGACATCAATCAAAAGTTAAATAGCTGGCAGTAGAAGGCCAAGAAGATCCTGTTGAAAGCAGAAATGAAAGTAGAAATGAATTTTGAACTGGAAGAACAATACAGAGTGTGAAGGACAAATGACGGGAATTCGCAAATGAAGTATTCAATGTATGCTTCTCATATTTAACCAAGGTATTTTGTAATTTCGTATTAAAATATGTTGGTTGACCCCACCTGTGTTCATGTTCATTACAGTAGCACTAACTACCAATTGTTCAGATTAAGGTGGCTGCGAGGAGATAATTAGAACTGTTGCCCGTTGATTAAAAGCCGCTACATTCATGTATATTGAGAATAGCGTAATAAAGAAAAAATTGCATCATAATTTTTACCTTAAGTACGACATAACTAACTAACAATTATTCAAGAAATCCAGATAACTCGAGATTATATAAACAGATAAGTATCACACGTGTATGAAAAAGACGGCCAACCTCAGTGAGGTTTGTTTACGAAAGCAGCGGTGGGTTGGAAAAGGAGCTAAAAATAACCATAGCCATTTAGACATTAAAATTAACAGGCCAAATTATTGATTGTTAGTTTGAGTAGAGTAGGAAAGCGTAAATTTCTTGGATAAAATATACAGGGTAAATGTGATTCATTTTTGGATATTAAATTATACACTAGAAAATTCGACACTACAGAGAAGCTTATTTCATAATCTTCTCAAGACTAGATATTCCATCATTCTATGACTTTATAAATAAATCAAATAACATTTAATGAAACATATGTGTATGCAATTGAAGTCATCATTAAGTTTCATAACGAACTATGTTCATTTGAGTAGTAGGTTGAAGAAGAAAAATAGAGAGGCCAAACCAAGGCATGGTATCAGTTTATAAAGCCATTAACTGTCGTATTGGTGGATGCAGACTACCTGGTTGCGGTCCATGTGATACTTCAGATTAATATTCCAAAATATTAGGTCACATGGCTTACAATCAGTCAAAGTGGTGCAAATGTATTCAATCTGTATCGTCTCCTCAGACTTGAAATTAAATATAATTTCGTATTACTTATCTCTGGAATCTATAACTCATTTTTCGAACTATATATTAAAGAGTTTAATCACTTTTACTACCACTGATGCTGTAACCTCGACTGATTTTGCTATTGATCTCAATATGTAAGTAGATAACGCGCTGACGTTTAAGGTAAAAGGTACTGACTTCAAGTTCCAGAGTAAGCATAGACTCAGCATTGCAAATTTATCCAGCTGAGAAGTTCCAAATAGGATGAAACAGGCGTTCCCAACTTAGCTTTTATAGTTTCGTATAAAAATTGCCTAGTATAAACAATTAAGTTTATTGAAGCCTTAACCATACAAAGACTCGAACCCTTTTTACCATGCTTGAAAACAGTTTGTTCTTACTTTGAGTTTGCTTTGGTAGTACCAATTTATGATCCACAATAGTGCACTTCATATTATCTTTATCTTTTTTATATTCAAATTTGCCTCAACCTTTTATTTTTTAAGTAGAAATACCTTAACAAGTGAATATGCAATCAGATTGCTTGAAATGTATCGGGCTAATAGTATACCATACTACATCAGATAAAATTCATCATCTCATAGCATTGTCAAAGTATAATTGAGATGAATAATTTGGAATGCATTAATACAAATAGAATATATTCACTGGTTTTAATTTGAGATACAACTATATTAAACAAATAGGATAACCCTAACCTGTCATCCAAGCAAATTTACTAGGGAGTTCATCTTTTACATTACGATAAAGTTTTAAATCACTATATCCAAAACTTCCGGGAAATTCAGTAACTTTGGATCCTAGACAAATTGAAAGGAAATTAAACAACAAGTTATTGATTAATGTATTCATTCGAATAATATGAAATCTGTGCAACAAAATACTTATTACATCATCATAACTTTCAGTAGTTTAAAATGTTGTACGCCAATATTTTTAAGGCTACGATACAAAATATGAGCTGTTGAAATTACTACGATCCGTGGAATTCTATTAAATTAAACTCTTCCCAAATGTTTGATCAACCAGTAATGCAACTGAGAAATGACTAGGAGTCTGTGAATGATAGAAATGAATGATTACGAACATGAATAGTCGCTACATATACATCTGATCCGGAAAAAAACATGTAAGCTGAAACCTTATTTAATTATTTATTTGAACACATAGATATTGGTACAAACGGGCACCGAATATATATGTGCCATACAAGTTACTTGATTCGTATGTGGGCTGTGAAACCGCCTGAGTGCCCAGACCGACGCAGTTGACTTTCTTAGGGGGCCACATCCGGAGCCTTCGACCTAAAGGTATGATCCACAAGGTAATGGAGTAACGCAAGGAGATGCAGTCCTATGGTAGCCGGTGGCCAATAATTGGTTCACACGCCATTTGTTCCTTAAGGATACTGGAGCCCGTGTACACCATTGGCTTGGAATTGTGGTTTTCCAACTCCCTTGGGGGAAACTCAGTGTCCACCAACCTTGTTAAAGTGTCGGAAATTCGCTTTTCGTCCTCTCAATTTTCTAAAGAACACCTCCGTCAAGAGAAGGCAGTGAGTAGGACTTTCCTGGCGCTTGCTTTATACGCGTGTCCATGCGAGCATATTTCGAGAGGGAGAGCTGACTCTCTCCTCCCTCGACCATACCAGGGCATTTGGGGTGAAATTTATTAGCATAAATTGAACTGTGAATGCTTGATTCTCATAAGAAGATTATTTAATGAATTTGTCTAAGTAATTGCTGATTTGTGTTAGATTTAATGATTTTTTTTAAATGATTCCCTACCAGTTCAATTTAGTGATAATGTACATTAATTGATGAATTCTCAGTCAGCTTAGAGAATAAGATTAAAATTGCTTAGGAAGCCTTAATTTCACAGGCTAAGTAAATATGTGTGCTTTTATCTGTGCTTTTACACAAATCAATTTCGTCACTATGCAAAAGAGATTACTCCTACAACTTCTACAATTAAAACCTCGATTAGTGAAACAGTGATCAAACATGTAACTCCGTAGTTCAGAGTTCAGTGCCTAAACTATTAAATTACAGCCTGAAAACTGATAATTTACTTTAGAAGCATCACTTAAACATCTTTAACTGATTTAAACAGACATAATTGTGTTCTATTGTAGTGACGTGTGGTGTCCGAAATCTGATGCTGACACACGGTGTGCTATGAGCTAACCCCCAAATGACTACTTGAGCGGGAACACAAGAGTGGGCGAGAAAGTGTATTGAACTACCGAAAAATGCACAAATATCCATATATATATACCAGTCAATCTTAAAGAAATCGACCCATTTTAACCCCAATGAAACGCACTTGATCTTTATGTCAGTTCTGAATGCTGTCGATCGGCCTTTTCATTAGGCTACTTCTGATTAGCACTCCATAAGAACTATTTCCCACGGAGGGATTAAAATGAGGCAAATTGGGTTACCTTTCTGGTTACAACTCATCCTCCACATCGACCAAGTTTCTATTAACTCTTGTGTTTACAGAAATTCAAAATAAAGAATAACGGTTATTGGGCTCCTGCTGAAGCGACGTTAAGAAATTTAGCTGGTAGATACAGAATCTAATACTAAATGGAATACACAAAAGTCTTGTAAAATGACTGTGTCCCCATCAACCATATTTAATATTAAGATGCTAAACAGGACATGATGTGATGCGATTTGTAATGAGATTTATCTATTTCATTCTCTCATCAAGGTATTAAGGAGTGGAATATTAAAGATGATAGCAACGAAGAGCAAGCGCCTTACAACTCAAACAACTAAGTACAAACTAGAAACAAACTTTCTAGTTCGCAAAAATTATGGTGATTCCAGACAGTAAATCTGACTACTAGAATGTAGCAGATGTTGTTGCGAAATAAACAGGTACAAAACTCTAATTTTGTTTCTAAGCAATATATGTCAAACAAACTGAAATTTAAAACAACAGCGATACGAAGAAAACAACTTACCAACAGGTAGTTTATCATCTGAGTTGAATACACTAGAGAATAGTCCAGTGATAATGGGAAATATAGTTGTATTTTGTATCCCAACAGATTGTTGTTGATTATATTCATTCACTAAACTAGACCTATGACCTCCAGTATAAGCATTTATTGCATTGGATATACCGGATGTAGCAGTATTTGCTGCTAGATGAGATAAAATTGAACCGGTTGTTGAACTGTTAGTATTTATCCATCCAGCAAATTGATACATACGACAAGGTGTTGTAGCAAAGACTACACATCGTTGCGGTTCACCAACTAGTACATTAGGCGAACCAATAGGAAAGCGAATCACTTCTACACCTGTTACACTATGTCCTAAATTAATCATCTAGGTGAAAGAAGTTGAATTGAATAGAAAAATATTATAAATATAGTTAGATGATATAAATTAGATATATTCATTTAATAAGAGCATCACTTATAAAATGTAACATATGGTCTAGAACCATTCAATTACGAATCAAAAATCAATAAATCCTTGATTTAAAGAAAATTTGTGCCTCAAGAAAGAGTAATCAACCTCAATGTAAATTAAATTAAACTGTCGTTATAACTTATGATTGTCTTAAACAAAAATAATAGGATACATTTTACGGAAACATATGAATCCACCAGACCTTAAAGCCATGGGACATTTACACACATATAAGCAATAAATGAGTAACACAATAAAGATTTAAACAGTTTTCATACTGAATACTTGCCACATTTGAATTACATGAGGTCTGTAAGAGTACCAACCATTACACCAACAATCCAACTAACTAAATAAGATGAATACAGAACTAAGAAAAGTAGAACAAGGAGCCCCCCAATGCCCTGGTATGCCCGAGGGTGAAGTGGGCCCTCCCTCCCTATCGAAATACTATCACACGGCCACGCGTATACAGCCTCTGCCAGGGAAGTCCTACTCACTGCCTTCTTGTGGCGGGGGTGTCGTTTACGAAAATGAGAGGACGAAAAGCGAATGTCCGGCACTTTAACTGGATCCCAAACCAATGGTGCACATGGGCTCCAGTATCCTGTGGGAACAAATGGCGTATGAACCAATCGTTAGCCACCGGCTTCCATGGGACTGCAGCTCCTATCGATGCTCCACGGCCTTGTGTGTCAGACCTTTAGGTCAAGGGCTCGGGGTGTGGCCCTCTAAGAAAACTACCTGCCTCGGTCTGGGCACCCGGACAGTATCACAGCCCACACACAAATAAAGTGAAAATGACGATATTTACTGAAATTTCTATTCATGCTTCGATTAATATTCAAACAATTCACATTATTATCATTATTATTATTTATTATTATTATTATTATTATTATTATTATTATTTACCACGTTACTTATTCACTCTCTTTTATTCCCACCTCATATATCCTTATTTTTCGACTTATACAGCAGCTCGATTTGCCTGCCCCTAGCTTTCTTTCAGCCTATTCGCATACCATTGAACATTGCGCGTCAACGTAAGCAAGGCGTTCCCTTTGATTTTGGCGGAGTGTCGTTCTCTGAGCTAGATGTTTTGGACGTGAAGCTTTCATTGTTCTTCTTAATACCATCAGCACGAACTATAGGCAGAAGTTTCTTTTATATTTCGGCATTCCCACAGACACATGACAGTCGAAAGCAGATTTGCAATTATTAGTCATTGTATATCAACCTAAATGTCTAAGCGCTACGCCCTCGTCGCAAGACCTGAAGGTCTTGAGTTCTACTACTGGGTGGTCGTCGGGGTGTACTGCCAAAGAGCTCTACACTGAGGTGAAATACACATCCACTACATCCTGGTTTGCAATGGCTATCTTGCTAAATCTTATTTGTGATGCAAAACACAAACTGAAAGTACAGTACTTTAATTATTAGGCCACAGCTTTACAAGCCAATTTACTTATCAAAAATTTGGACGATCATAAACAGTAAAAAAGTAAAATGTTCATCTTGCCTGGATCCAATACTGTTCAATAGTTCCCGAACTAAAAAAGCTATCTTCATTAAACATAAGCATTGTTTCAAATATTAGTCCATCATTTGTACCGATTAAAATTTCTTGTGTAGACAATTCATTAACATTATGATGATTCCAAGCTATAGAGTCAAACAAATGATCCTAAAATACAAAATCGAACGGTAAATAAATATATTGGATAAAACGTTGAAAAGATGGGATTTCGTTAGTAACTCTATACAAATTAGCGTGAGTTACACAAGATTTCTGAAGCTAACTAGAAGATTGATGAAAAAACATACCGGATTAATAGTAGATTAAGAGTGATCACGTGGCTCATGACCGGAATTATAGTTGCTAATTTTTAGATAAAGTTTTTCAGCATCCTACTTAGCCTGTTCGTTTTGACCTTTTGCTAACGTTAATATTACTTTTCATAAACCTTTAGAAAAAATACTTTGTTAGTTTAATTTTGTTAATACTAAAAACTCTCAAAGTCTATAAAAGAACCCGACGTTCCTAGGTTTTCAAGTTATCTATCAGGTACTTGGCGTTGACGTCCACTTTGTCTGTGGCTACTGTTACTACCTAGTTGCACAAGCAGTAGGTGGAGTGAGGTTGGAACCTACAACCAAGTGCCTAGAATTCGACACAAATAACCACTAAACCACAGTTCCATTATTTTTAGATCATTTACTCATTATCAATCTATTACTTTACATATACATTTTACAGTCGATTTTATTACCAGAGGTGAATTTCCCTGTAAGTGAACATAAACATTCTATGTTAAGTGCATTTACCTTCAGAGCCACAAACGACAAAAAGGAAGGTCTCGACAACAACATTTCCGGAGACTTTCGCACCAAGTTTTTTTTTATTTTATTTTTTTTATTTTTTTTTTTTATTTTTTTATTTTAACACATAGATATTGGTACAATGAGGCACCAAATACATATGCGCCACACAAATCTCATTCGATATATGTGAGGGCTGTAATACTGTCCGGGTGCCCAAACCGAAGCAGGTAGTTTTCTTAAAGGGTTACACCCCGAGCCCTTGACCTAAAGGTCTGACACACAAGGCCGTGGAGCATCGATAGGAGCTGCAGTCCCATGGAAGCCGGTGGCTAACGATTGGTTCATACGCCATTTGTTCCCACAGGATACTGGAGCCCATGTGCACCATTGGTTTGGGATCCAGTTAAAGTGCCGGACATTCGCTTTTCGTCCTCTCATTTTCGTAAACGACACCCCCGCCACAAGAAGGCAGTGAGTAGGACTTCCCTGGCAGAGGATTATCTAGTTTGATGTATGTTTGGTCCAGTTTCTGTCTGAATACACAAAGGATTACAGCAAAGCCAGATAAGTGGTTTTTATGCTAACATAAAAGTAGTGCGATTCGCGAAAAGTGGTAATTTTTAAGTCATGCTAGAAAGTTTGGAAGAGAATTCAACTAACTCCAAACAAGAACATGTAAATAAAAACCTATGCGTTTTATTATATGATTTGTCGAAAAACGATAGTGAAACTTCCTGAGTAAAGTATAGCACATTGATCTTGTTTAACTTTTTAGTGCGAAATAAATGAAATATTTTCATCAAATCAAATACGATATACAAACACTCACTTTTGTCTTGTTTAAAGGGCGAACCTTTTTCATACCTTTATTGATGTAGAAATTTGTGCCAGACTGCATACTTATTACAGTATGCCAACCCATAGGATCCAGAAAAATATTATGGACTCGGTCATCTGAAAGGCGGCTAATTTCAATTTCTAGATATAAATGGAAATGATGCTGAAAATTCCAGTTTCATAAAAAGAATTCTACATGAAAGAATCATTAAATATGAGCAAACAGCAGAAACTGAATGGATATTTGTACTACGGTTCATTAAACAGTAGTGCAGAGCGAAAAACGATAATTTATTTATGTGAAATTATTGTTTCGAAAGACTAGCTTAAATTAAGCTATGAGTGCATAACAGGAGCATTCAATTATTATGTAAGTTTATGAGTGCTTGGTAATACCCTTAGTGAACATAATGATTTCAGTATTCTAATTTTAAATTTTCTTAAATTTCAGACTAATAATCGACCATACATAGTGCTTGAAGTGATACCTTGTCAGAAATAAGTTCAAATAAATTAATAAACGAACCAAAGTAAATATATTTCAGTTTTCAATATGACTACCATTAATCCTCCCGTAGCAAACACAAAATCACGGAATAATATCGTCCGTAAGTACTTCTTAGTGCTCCACGAGATATAAGAAAATAGATTTTTTGATTTTAGACGATGAATCTACTTTACCTTACGGTCGTCGCTCTTTTGAAATCAGAGCACTTCCATTTATCAACTATAGGACCCTGAGAACTACATTGGAGAGACCAATAGCAAGTCATATGAGATACTTAGCTTTAGTCATATATATCGTTTAAAATAAAATTTTAAATATCCATGTTAGAACGGCTAGACAGAGTCATTAAGGACATGTATTATAACAATGTTAATCATGTATTGTGACGTTTCTTAGTATATATATAATTAAATATATATATACTAACAGCCTTCTAGAAGAAACAACACAGAAAAGTAATCAAATTATTTTTATCTTTTCATCGTAATCTATAACAATAAAGCTTTTTGGAAGCATCAGCCAGACATTTCGGAGACCAAAGCCTGTTCTTACACATAAAAGTCAACTAACGTTTCCCAATAAAGATTAATTACATAGGCAAGGACAGGATAATCGTACACATAATCTCATAATTTGTAATATATTAGCACGGAACTGTGCAATACTGATTGAAGAATATAAAAATCATTATGAATTTTGTGGACAATCAAAAATGTAGGGGTAAGATTTATGTGTGAATAAATATATGATAATGAAACAAACCAGATATATTGTAAGGAGGAACAGTAGACGTTCTTATTAGGGTATTTTTTGAAGTAGCACCGACCAGATAATTGTTACAAACTTGCAGATTCATTAAGGAATTCACTACTCTGTAAAAAAATATACAATGAGTAAACTAAGAGAATGTACCTGAACCACTGCGCTGAATCGAGTGTAAAAATCCCATCATGTGCAAAAAATTCAGCAGACTAAAAATGTTTTGAAATGTTAAAGAAAGCTTTCAATTACAGATTGCTGTTCATCAATATTTAGAGTACCCTTCTGCATAATGTAGCGCAGTAACCAATTAAGGCGGTCTGAACTCTTTCAGCAATTTGGATAGGAGGCCAGTCCACTTATATTAATTCTGGTAATTCATGGTTCTGTGACGATCCAGTCTCGCTGTTATTTTATCGACAGAGGGTGCTGATGGGGTATTTCAGTAGTTCGTTACTCCATGAGAGAAACGAAAATCCAATCTGTCTTCATACAATAGGCCAGTCGAACCTATCATCATTTCTTCCCTTTTCATTGGATTTGTTCTAAATTATCTGCCTCGCACTCGGAGCAGGGACTCGTTGCTTGAGTCCCATGTTTCCAAATGCAGCCTTTCAAAAATCGAGTATAGTAACCCGAACATTTATTCATCCAAATAACGTAATACCCTTAGTTCTCAGGTAGTTGATTTTTAAGACACTTAGGTCTCTATAGTTCTTAACTCTAAATAACAGCATTTTACTTATGTAGTTATATGAATCATCGCAGTTACTTATTCGCATCACTACATTATTACTAAAATAAACTTCAGATGACAACGTATACATCCATTTAACCAGTAAATTTAGGTTATCCTGCAATAATATACTATGTGACATACAGTGTTTAGGTCTAAAGAAGGTTATCCGTTGCAAGAATATAACTATTTAACTCTGAATTCGACTCCGCCTGTAGCTCTTCTTGAGTTAATGCCGATCCCAAGCCCGGACAAAGAAGGAGGGTTGGGCATGGGTTTAGCGACCCCATCCCGTAGAAAACTAACTCGCTAAAAAAACGCTAACCAGAAACAATTATTCGAACCTTTTAAAATCTGCTCCGGGAGTCAGAAGGTCTTCACTTAGAAGAACTATGACGCCTCATGATGAAAGCCGAATTCCTTCGGAAGTTACGAGGCCGATACCCCTTTAGACAACCAGAGCGACCGTTTATCTAGGTACATGGAATGTTCGTACAATGTGGGACACTGGGACAGCCTTCCAAATTGCTGCAGAATTGAGAAGATACAACCTAGAAGTGCTTGGGATCAGTGAAACAGATTAGACGCAAGTTAGAAAACAACGACTAACTTCAGGAGAGCTCGTGTTATACTCCGGCCATAAAAAAGAAAATGCAACACATACACAAGGAGTTGCATTGATGCTGTCCAAACGAGCAAAAAATGCACTTATAGGATGGGAATCTCGGGGACCAAGGATCATCAGAGCCTCATTCAAAACAAAGAAAGAGGGCATTTCAATGAACATCATCCAATGCTATGCGCCTACCAACGACTACAATGAAGTAGCTAAAGATCAATTCTACAATAGGCTGCAGTCAATCGTCGAAAAGTGACCAATAAAGGACCTGACTATTCTGATGGGAGATTTCAATACCAAGGTTGGAACGGAAAACACTGAATATGAAGATATTATGGGACGACATGGACTGGGAGAAAAGAACGAAAATGGAGAAAGATTTGCAAATTTGTGTGCATTCAACAAATTGGTCATAGGCGGCACAATATTTCCACACAAGCGTATACACAAGGCTACATGGATCTCACCGGACCAAACTACAGAGAACCAGATAGATCATATTTGCATCAACAAAAAATTCCGAAGGACAATGGAAGATGTGAGAACCAGGAGAGGTGCTGACATAGCTTAAGATCACCACCTAGTTGTGGCCAATTTAAAACTGAAGCTAAAAAAGAACTGGACAGCTGGATAAAAAGCACTACGAAGGTTCAATACAGCCTTCCTTCGAGATACGGACAAACTCAGTGAATTCTCAACAACAGGTTCCAAGCCTTACAATATCTACTGAAGGAAGAAGAAACCACTATGGGGGACAACTGGAAAGTCATCAGAGAAGCATTAACTTCAACGTGTCAAGACGTTTTGGGCCTAAAGAAACACCATCATAAAGAATGGATCTCTATATAAACACTGGATAGGATCAAAGAAAAAAAGAACAGGAAAACATCAATTAACAACAGCCAAACACGAGCAGAGAAAGTCCAAGCACAAGCTTAATACATAGAAGCAAACAAGCAAGTGAAGAGGAGCATTAAAGCCAGCAAGAAGAAATACGTGGAAGAATTAGCAACGACGGCGGAAAAAGCTGCTAGAGAAGGAAATATGAAAAAGCTTTACGATACAACGAAGTAACCAGCAGGGAAATACAGTAAACCAGAGAGACCGGTCAAAGACAAAGAAGGCAAGCCAATCACTGAAATTCAACAACAGCGAAACAGATGGGTAGAATACTTCGAGGAACTCCTGAATAGGCCGACTCCAACGAATCAACCGGACATCGAAGCAGCACACACAGATCTTTCTATAGGTGTCGGTGGTGCACTGACCAAATTGCGACATTACGGATCATCGTCGAACAAACAGTTGGGTGGAACTCGTCAATATACAACAATTTCATTGATTATGAAAAGGTGTTTGACAGTGTAGATGGGAGGACATCATGGAAACTTCTTCGACACTACGGAGTTCCTGAGAAGATTGTCAATATTATCCGGGACTCATACGACAGACCACAGTGCAAGGTCGTGCATGGAGGACAGCTGACAGATGCATTCCAAGTAAGGACTGGAGCCAGACGAGGCTGTCTACTCTCTCATTTTTTCTTTCTTCTGGTGGTCGACTGGATTATGAAGACCTCGACATCTGAGAGAAAACACAGAATTCAATGGACAGCTCAGAATTGATTAGACGATTTGTACTTCGCAGATGACCTAGCCCTCCTATCGCATACACACAAACAAATGCTGATAAAGACAGCCAGTGTAGCAGCAGTCTCTGCATCAGTTGCCCTCAAAATACGCAAAGGAAAAAGCAAAATCTTCAAATACAACACGAAGAACAGCAATCCAACCACTCATGATGGCGAAACTCTGGATCCTTCATATACCTGGGGAACATCAACGACGAACAAGGAGGATCAGATGCAGACATAAAGGCGAGGATTGGCGAAGCAAGGGCTGCATTCCTACAATTGAAGAACAATATGAAAATCAAAACAACGTTTTTTTTCAGCTTATATCAAAGTGAGGACATTCAATACAAACGACAAGACAGTCCTATTGTACTGAGCTGAAACTTGGAGAACTACAACAACTATCATCAGGAAGGTACAAGTATTTGTGAATAGTTGTCTATGCAAGATACTCAACATTCATTTGTCGGATACCATCAGCAACAGCCTTCTGTGGGAGAGAACAAACCAGATTCCAGATGAAGAAGAAATTGAGAAAAGACGATCGAAGTGGATAAGACATACATTACGCAAATCATCAAACTGCATCACGAGGCAAGCCCTAACTTGGAATCCTGAAGGTAGGCGAAAAAGAGGAAGTTCAAAGAACACATTACGTCAGGAAATAGAGTGAGATATGAAAAGGATGAATAACAACTGGGAGGAGCTTGAAGGGATTGCCCGGGACAGGTTTGGATGGAAAATGCTGATGATCGGCTTATGCTCCTTTACGAGGAGTGACGTAAGTAAGTGAGCAAGCTAAATTGAAATCTCCTGCAGTGAGATCTGAAAAGCAGGAAAGATCTTTACTGAGTCTATATTGTTTTCTGACTAAAAGATTATTTCCTACCAAACAGTTCAGAAAAGACATCTGAATAATTTTTTCCACCAGTTTGGTGATCACAATTGTAAGACTAATAGGCGATGGTTACTAACTAGTTTTCTGATCCCCGTTTTACAAACCAGATTTATGATTACATCATTTCAGTTTATTGACAGTTTAGACTGCCTAAGAGCATAAAAAAAGCATCAACAGAGGTTTGAGAATTACATCGCCCAGAGCTTTCACAAGCATAGGATCGATATCGTTAGGACCAGTAGACGTATTACGTTTTACATTTTCAACAAATGTTATGGCAGACGTGTTCTCAACAACCAGATCCACCGATAACTTGCCATTATTGAGGTTAATGGTTGGTCCTTTCAAGTCGTCAGTAAATACATTTTATTAAAATATTTGTATAATGTCTCAGCTTTGGCAACTTCATTTCTTGCCAACATCTTGTACCAGAAGTGACAGGACCATAACACCTATCTGAATCCGCTTATTCATATGAAAGAACAATTTTTTGAAACATTGCGCAATCAAACTTTTCTTATACAAAAGGCTATTCCTACTTATCAACGCTAAGCGCGCATTCTTAATCTTTCAACAAATGTACTTTTCTTATAGAGACTAGAAGTATACTAATAAGACGTGATAATTTACATGATCATATACGACTGTTTCCCCTCATAGAGCAGTAAAGCTCGCTCACCAGCGTTCGCCATACAACCATGACCTAAGCAATCATTTTCAATTAATTCCAATTCTTATTCATCCTTTTCATGTCTGCTTACGATTCTCGATACATTGTGTTCTATGGTCTTCTTCTGATCAGTTTCCTTACAGCATTCCTAGTTAACGCTTGCATCGTCAAACAGTTTGTTGATTTCACAAATGTATGTCATATCCACTTACAATGACTTATCCTAATTTTCTCCTCAACTCCAACCTGGTTTCTTCTCTTCCACAGTAGAATGTCGCTTATGTTATCCGGTCAACGAACATTCAGTATCTTGTGTAGACAATTCTTTCAAAATATTTGTGCATTATTGGGTACATTTGTGTTAGTTTTCTAAGTTTCAGCTGCACACATTAGAACTGTTTTGATGTTCGAATTTTAATGGCACAGTAAGTCGACGGAGTTATAAAAGCTGACGCACAGCAGACTCAACATTTTGACACAGATTGCAAAAAAGAAGAAAGTCGCACGGTGAACAGAACCATCGCAAGAACAACTGCTTTAAAGAATGGATGAGTGTGGTTTATGCTACTGATGTCAATAGACATAATCAGTATGTATCATCAATCAGAAATTAAATACCTGGAAGCAGAAAGTTAAGAAGATCGAATAGAAGAGAAAGAGAACTGAGAGTAATTTACATCAAAAAGAAGAAACAGTTAAATCCGAGATAACTGTTTAACATTTTGCAAATGAAGTTTCTACTGTATGGTTCTCAGATTTTATTAAAATGTGCTATAAT